CACACGCGTGTGTGTGTATCTAATATTCACGGCATGTATCACACACGTGTGTGTGTATCTAGTATTCACGACATGTATTACACACGTGTGTGTGTATCTAGTATTCACGGCATGTATCACACATGTGTGTATGTAATATCCACGGCATGTATCACACACGTATGTGTATCTAACATTCACGGCATGTATCAGAGATGTGTGTGTGTATCTAGCATTCACGGCATGTATCACACACGTGTGTATCTAATATTCACGGCATGTATCACACACGTGTGTGTATCTCGTATTCACAGCATTATAACACACGTGTGTATCTAACATTCACCGCATGAATCACACGTGTGTGTAACTAGTATTCACGGCATGTGTCACACACGTGTGTGTGTATCTAGTATTCACGGCATGTATCACACATGTGTGTATGTAATATCCACGGCATGTATCACACACGTATGTGTATCTAACATTCACGGCATGTATCACAGATGTGTGTGTGTGTATCTAGCATTCACGGCATGTATCACACACGTGTGTGTATCTAATATTCACGGCATGTATCACACACGTGTGTGTATCTCGTATTCACGGCATTATAACACACGTGTGTGTGTATCTAACATTCACCGCATGTATCACACGTGTGTGTATCTAGCATTCACGGCATATATCACACACGTGTGTGTGTGTATCTAGTATTCACGACATGTATCACACACGTATGTGTGTATCTAGTATTCACGGCATGTATCACACACGTGTGTGTGTATCTCGTATTCACGGCATGTATCACACACGTGTTTGTTTATCTCGTATTCACCGCATGTATCACACACGTATGTGTGTATCTAGTATTCACGGCATGTATCACACGTGTGTAGGCACCGAGGAAGTGGCTCCATGTACTTATTTTTGTACTGGCTGGTTCGTTGTATCTTAAATGTTACCCTTGGGCATCCTTGCAAACGCGATGTGCCATCGCAAGTGATAATCCAGGTGATAAATAAGATTAACGTATGTTTGTGTTATCATGTATGTTTTTATTTTACAGTTTCATACGTGATTGGAATTTGATTTGTTACATCATAGCGAGACACAAGTACATAACTTACTGATCCTATGCATTATCAGTTTTTTAGTTTTTCTTTCAGACGGTTTCAATACAGAATAGGATCCAATTAGGATGGAATGCGCCTTGAAAATGTAAATTTTTACTACAGAACTGCGTGCTGTACCTTATTCGGGAGATATGTGCAACTAAGTATTAATGAAGGGTAAATGTTCAGCCTTTGCAACCTACTTGCTCACACCACTGCTCCACAACGGGGAGCTCAAGAGAAAACAATAGACGGAAAATCTGTCTCCGCATGTCATACAAAGATTATTGTGGACCAATGTTTTTTTACGCATTATATGTTAAGCAGGCAAATGTTAGACGTACCCGTTGAACTCTTTGAGCTTCATCAGCTGTGAGGCATACTCAACTAAAACAAGTTTCTGTGCTGGGATGCCAAAGATTCTGGGTGATGGCAAATATGCGTTATCCATGAGACATACTAAACTTTGACTTAAAACTTTCGTGACTGCAGGAATTCATAGTCTTGGTTCTTTCGGCAAAGAAATGTAGATAGAATCTACGTGACTATCTACGTGACTTTACCGCAAGAACCAACAATATACATACTAAACCGTAAACCATATTTATTTAGAATTAAATATCGCCTCAACTCAAGGGCGTATCAAAACATTGTACCCTAAAATCAACTTCAAAGACAAAATAATGGTCAAGTAAAAGCCATGAGAAAATAATGAGCCTTGCACTCCCTTCTAAACACACTTAGGCTCGTCGCGTGCTGGATCACCGCGGACAAGGCATTTGAGATATTTGGGGCAACACTTGAGAAGCCCTCCCCCTACCCCCAGCATTGAGCGCAAGAGCCCAGGCTGGAAGAGTAGTAGTAATGTCCTGCTCTGAAGAGCCTAGCGTATAAACCCCAGTCGGTAAAGTCACGTAGGTAAAAAATAAAACAACTAATTTTTCATTTATTTTATTTTAATTATTATTTTACCCCACGTGACTTTTTACCGAAAAAACCAAAGAGTATGAATCCTTGCAGTCACGAAAGCTTCAAATCTAGAAGTATGGCAGATCAGTCGGGCCGGCACGTGCATGGGTCCAAGGCCATGCAGAGCTTTCTGGGGCCACAATGGCCAGCTTACACTGGATGCGAAAGCTTGCTGGACGCCAGTTGCAAATGAAGTGACATTCTATACCGCTGAAGCAAGTTGTTTGTGATATGCCAGTGTCGAGACCTTTAAGCAGTCACAACGGAAAGTTTGTCTTCCTATTGTCAACTATTTTTGGACGTTCCCCAAAGTACGTGAGCGTGCAGTCAAAAATGTCGAGCATTTCCTTTCGAGATTGAGATGAAGCCGCATGTATGTTGAATGTAAACGCATGCTTTATTGTACAGTATTGTATATCTCCAAGTGTCGCCGATCCAGAACAGCTGTATTTAAACTCCACATTTGTATGACGGGGACCATGACATTCTGAAGCAAAATTACGAGTTCAAATCCCTGTCCGAGACTGATTCATATCATCATGCCATATAGGTAGTTAAAGCGAGTACAACTTTGTGGAATGTAAACATTGGTAATTCTATGGATAGACTAGCCCCCGTCATGGGAATGTGGAATATATGTCATTGTCTCGGAAAACGAGTCCCTTACAATGCTTTGCCTTAAAAGGGTATCTGGGTGCGCGTCACAGACTGAACACTTTCCAGGAGGGTGCTGCTTCGGGATTTGAGTCCAATCTGTGGAATATTTCAAATGTGGGAGGAAACCGTGATATCCGGATAAAACAAACAACCCCACGCATACGAGGGGACAACCACTCAACATCCACTCGCTGTACACACGTGCCATACTGCCATCTCCCGGCCACCTCCAAGAATTTGACAGCACGCAATCTCTGCGTGTTCCGCCAACCCCGCCTCCAAAGCGCTTTCAAGAGCAAGACTTACCGTGTTCTCCGGATGATATGGCACGAAATACAGCAAAAGTTGCGTCCTGTGTCAGTACAATAAGATAAAGCTGCACACACATTTATTGGACGCACCCTCAACTTTCCATTTAAACATACGGTGGGGGGGGGTAAATAATGAGTGTTATCGGGAGAATACGGTAATAACTCACACCAGTTCAGTGTTCACAAAGTGGGGTTCATTTCCCAATACGCGGATTATGTGGTGGCTGCTAATTCGGTACATAAGGTACATATATATACATGTATGGCTCTTTGTTAATCGACTGCTGGAGGAGGGCCTCCCTACTGCGTGCGGGGTCGTCTGTTCGTGGGTGATATTTTTCACCGCAATGGTCAGGACGGGTGGCTGAAGTTGGGGGTTTAATACAGAATCGTTTTTTTGTTCCACTGCCCTCTACTGCACCAACACGCATACAACACCCGTGTCCTAGCGCACTGTTCTATCCTTCCCAAGGGCACATTTCCCTTCCACGTCGCCTTAACAAACTGGTGGGGGCAACTATAGTGAACGAGCACCGGATGAAAGCCGGGAGGGCACACGAGGGGTGGGTGGCCAGCACCACGTCCGGCCGCTTTTGTGCGGTGTGTATTTTCACACCGCACCAGATATTCACTTATTTGAGGCTGAGTCGACCTAGGGGAGGCTCGGTACCGGTTCAGATGATTGTCGCTGATGTTGGCCATGAGAGGGAATCGAACCCGGGTCGCTGGGTTCATGGCGCATCGCGCTAACGGCTACACTCACGCACTAATAATTTGTTTTAAACAAAATAGTAGCTTTAAATAAAAAAATAGTATTGTTTATTTTTAAAGTTCATATTTGATCTATTATTGATATGTATACATTTTATTCAATCGCTTACAAAACTCGACCAAGATCCCTGCACTAATTGAGACGAAACATAACTGTTGAATGTTCAAAGATTACACCTGTAATCTTAAAAAAAAACATCCTAAATTTATTTTAAAAAAATTCATGTACGCTTTAATGTTAATGAAAAGACAGTTTGAACATTTCTTAAAATAAATTTAATAACCCTGTGATTTGTTAAAATAAATATAACCTTATGTGTCCTGACTGTTGGGGCCACCCTGCATATGCAAAATGTTTGCGATGTAGAAAATGTAGATTCTTCTATATCCACCGCAACACACTTCGTACATGAAGACAGCAGCAGTGCCACCTCTCCATTCCACGTGCACCCAGCGCTAGGACCCATGGGGGCGGGGGGGGGTCCACATTAATTTGTCCCCCCATCCACCCCACCCCCATCACCCCCCACCCCCACCCACCATCCCCCCCACCCCTCACAACCTCCCCACACCTCTCACTCCTGCGCCGTAATTAGAATCGTGTCGTCGGCCTCGTCGTCGTCGTCGTGGGCGACGTCCCGGGCAGCGCGTGCGAGTCGGCATTAAAAGAACAAAAACGATCCCGAGAGAGCAGCAGCAGCAGCGGCGTCCGTCCGCCCGCCTGCCGCGACTTTGCTCCTGCCGGCCGGGTAAGCGGTGGCAGGCGGAGGAGGGGGAGGAGGAGGGAGAAACGAATCGCCCAAGAATGGCCGAAAATGCGATGTCTCTCTTGCGCTAGTTAATGGAATGGGATGAGTTTCGTCCGCTGTGCCGCGTGGTTTCTTGGTGACATTGCGGCTGTGTTGAACGCCCTTCGTAGGCAGGCTGCTGCGCCCTCTGTGAAGCCGAGCAGGCCTCGCCGGTGCGTGCGTGTGGTGATGGTGGTGATGGTGGCGGCGTGCATTGTGTGCGAGGCGACCTCGCTAATTTGCTCGCTAACAGCACGAGTTGTAAATTTTGATTTAAAGCTTTCGTGACTGCAGTAATTCATATTCTTAGTTTTTTCGGTAAAGTCACGTTGAAGAGAAACAACAAAATAACAAAATATATATAAATCAATAAAAAATTTTCACGACGTTTCGACCATAACTCAAACGGTCATCATCAGGTGTGTCGGTTTTCAGCACGAGTTGTGTTCATGGTTTTGCGATTCGGTGTGCGGCCCTATATCTTTCCTTAATCGACTGCCGACGAGGCCTGTTGCGCCCCCCTGCCACCCCCACGTGTTTCTCGTGGGGATGATTGACCTTGCTATACTGTACTTCACGCGGTTTAGTGAAAGGTGGGGGTGTGGGTAGGGGAAGTGCCAGGAACCAATTAATATCACTCGCCACTGACGTTAGCCGTGAACTGCACTCGAACTTGGACGCCGCAGTGCGCTTATTGCTCAACGCCATTGCCCCTAGCCACGCGTTTCGCTGTTTTCGAGTTCACCTGTGCCGCAACGAGGGGCACTTGCCCCTCTTGTCTGTCCCGGCTCTCGCCTTGCCTGGGTTCGACTGGGGCCTCGATCATTTGCTGGTGCGGTGGTGCACTGGGGGAGACAAAGGCGGCCGGGGCTTGGCTCCAGCCACGGTAAGCGCCGCGGCCCACTTCGTAAAGCGCTTTGCTCCGACAGTCCACGCACGGCACGAGGGTCCGCGTGTTAACCGCTGTCGCCCGGCCTTAATGGGTGCTCGCAAACAACCGCCACGCGTTTCCCTGCAGTCCGTGAGCGGCAGTCCACCCAACCTGCGTGCGTGGTTTATCGTCAAACTTTTGCAGACCGATGTCAATCCGCCGCTGTATGAACGGGTCGACTACTGTGAGTTTAGGCCCTGACGCGAATGCTTTGCTCTCCGTGCTCGTTAATTGCACAATTGTTGCGAGTCCTTTTGTCATTGCGCTGCTGCGGCTATACTTCACCACGCCCGTCGTTGCCTTTTGCTGAGGTTAGGGGCAGGGTTTAGGAACGGCTCCGATGCATCGTCGATCGCCCACTGACGTTAGCCGTGGTCCGGAATCGAACTCGGGAGATTTTTTTTGGTGGGGGTTGTCGTGCGCTAACCACTACGCCACCGGTCCAGTTCCGTGAATGCGGCATGTTGCAGTGCTGTATTAAATCCTTGGGAAAGCGCATTAATGTTTAAGTGTATAATCATTCCTTCTGTTACATTCTGCCACGGTTGAATTTCTCGGTGCGTGCGACACAAAACACATCGTCATGTTCTGCGTGTGAATAGGAATTAAACCCATGGGCAACAACGACCCCCCCCCCCTTCCAATTTCGTTGGGAATTATGATTTTTTTGTATTAATTAAAAACCGATTCCGAACCTTTTAGTCCATCGGTTGCGCTGACAAATCACAACCCGACCGCTCTGTCCACATCTGAGCGAATAGTTGCGGTGGCCTAAGTCACTCCAGTGCCAATTTCTCGTGATGCACAATCATCCCCAGTGCACTCCCCCCTTGTCATTAACATCGCGGGGGACGACACAAAACTACACAAACTCTCTCCTGGAGTCCTCTCGTCGTGGCCAGCAGACCTCTCGGCATTGGTGCAGCCTGTTTTCCTATAACGCGGCGGTAGTTGCGTCCTTGAATTAACACCGCGTTATGGAAAAATCGCGTTGTAATAAACGACATGGGGATGAAGCGCAGTCCGCGATAAGGCGTGAGATGCGTACGCAGGCCGAACACACTGATGCGCGTGGGTAGCATTTAGAAGCATCCAGCAGCATCCCCAATGCCTTGTGCGATGCCAAGCCGAGGCAGCCGCACGACCGATTATTCCTACTCGCACGACGTAGTTCCGTTCACTCGATCGCGTTATATATATAAAAAAAATGTGTTTCCAAATACATTCGTCGCGTTATTTATCCAATTCGCGTTATGAAAACAACACGCAGCGTTACATGAGAACCGACTGGTATATAGCTCCTGAACATATTGTGCACACGCAAGAAAAGAATGTTCTTGCAGAGATTCTTGTGAATGCGCCACCTCTTTTACAACTAGGAAATTATACACTCTTTTCAGTAATTAATGGGTGTAACAACCAACAAAATGTGAACACGTTTGAATAAATACGTCGCTACAAATGTCTGAGCAGGTCGCTTGAAAGTCAAATAACAAAGCCATGTCAGACGCTGGTGACACTACACAGAATGGCCGCTTGCTACTTGTCCTGATTTGACCCAGGCAGTCCGCGAATTAGCGTCTTTTGTGTATATTGGGTGGCAGCAATTGTTTTGTACCGAGGCCTGATGTGTTGAACTTTATTGTAGTGTGTTGCATAGTTTTATGGTAGACTGACTGAGAAATGGTCCCGGTTTGATCCGTGGAAAAGGTGGCAACTCTAACTAAAGACCAAATGGTGGTGGCAGTGCAAAATATTGAATAGTCAAGGTCATTGGGAATACCTCAATACATTGGGGAGTTAAATATATTTATAAAGAATTAAGAATATTGGAATAGAATAGAACCAGATGCTGCTATTTAGAAACACTATCCAACAAAACCCAGACTCTGGATTTACAGTGTTTGAAAAAAACGCAAGTAAACTTAAGCACTGCAACACAGCGTAGTGATACTATGTGTGCTTAATAGTGATCAACGTTATAATGATCGTGCTGTCGAGAGCTCAAATTGATGCGTGTATCGTGAGGATAAACATTAACCTTGGTCGATATTTTGGTGCCTCATTATTTGCACCAATCCTACTATCTGCATGTCCACCTACATTCCACACTGTTTAAGAACATAAGTGGGGGGAGGGGAGTGGTGGCTCAGGGGTTAGCACATTGCACTGTAAACCCAGACACAGATCGATTGCGGCTATGGTTAACGTCAGTGGCACGTGATATTTAAAGTCACCTTCACTTACTAGTTTCTGCTCCCACGACCCCTTAATCTCTCCGTCATAACCACCACCGTTACTGTTCCCCCATTCTCACTCATTCCCCAATCATCAATCCATTCATCATCATTTACTGTTATCAATTTCCCTTGCGCCGAATTCACGCATCACAGATTCGCCTATTGCTTCCTCTCTATTTCATTCACCTCATCTCCACCATTACATTAATATGTTTTACCATTGTTAATTCTTTGTAAAGCGCCTTTGTTTAAGGCGCGACATAAATTTCCTATAAGATAAGACCAATGAACAGTACAATTGGAAATGACCTTGGTAAGGTGACCCAGTGGCAGCCTTGTCTACAGCAGAGTAACAGGGGAACCTTAGCTTTTACTACAGTGCGGGATGATAGTTGTGTTGGTGTCCTGAGGTCACACTCTTGCGGACATGCCAAGGGCTGCGTTGTTTCCACTGTACGCCCGTCCTGCACGTCCACAGCCGCAGCGGGGCGATATTTAAGTCCAGCGCTTCCATACACACACAACAAATCCAGGATGTGGAGGGGGATGGGGGGCTTTCTGGTTAATTATCGTTAACGTTTCACCCGTCGCAGCTGTTAAAGGAGCAATCTGGCCACGTGGTTGTACAGTGGGAAAATTGCAAGTTTATCCTAGTCGGGAGTCGACTCGACGAATCATCATCCATATGTAGGGGTTGATCAAATCAGTACCACTTTGTGGGATATCAACGGTGGTTGACTTGTGACAGACTGATCATGTCATATGAATGTGGCATTCAGAATGTTCTAATGCTAGGCCACAATTTGGGTCCTGCCATAGAAATGTGGAATTTGCTCTGCGAGTTTAATGCAAGACTAGCATTAGGAAGGAGTGCCACCCAGTTGCTGTGAGAATCCCGAATATAAATGTCTTTATCTCATGATATGACAATGGCATGAACATTGCTCTCTCGTCTCTTTCGAAAGTCCACGTGGTTTCTTGCACAATTGAGCATGGGGTGGTGATAACATCCTGTTCATAGCGCCAGATCCAGTGGTTGAAATTGCTCTTTCCAATGGCCGGGGGCAAGTTTATCCCACAGGACTTTGCTGCACCACATGGGTTAATCAAAACATATTTGGGAGAGTAAATCTCTAACAAAAAACCCCAGCCACACACGTGCTCGCCTGTGAGGAAATGTGCAGTTCCTACTCGACCCCAGTTTTTTTTTAGTTCTACCCAGAATAACCCAGACCAGATCTGGATGGAATAGTTCACAATGTCTCTTAAATTTACAATAACTTCAACACAGGTCAAGTACACGTCCCCCCGGCTTAAAAGAGTATTGGGGATGGTGCTCACCTCCATTGGCAGCCCCGAGCCAGCAGTGAAAATTTTACATTTCTGTGGTGGGGGACAGACCAGCCATAAGACACCCACGGTTGACTTTCAACCTCGGTGGCACTCGTTTTATTTACTCTGCAAGGGATGATGGGCTGAGTTGAGCCCCGAGCGAACTTTGAAGTTGACAGCTTGTAATTTAGAGTCTGCTACTGTAAGTACAGTGCTCCCCGCTTGGGTAACATCATTATTGGTGTCCTATGAAGTGTTGACAGCGCTTTGTAACGTCTTGCGAGTTGAGGTAAATTGAGGACTGTTTACTTAAAACGCTGTTCGCGAAATGTTGTACCCTAAACACAGTGGGGGGTCCTATATTAGAGCTCACTAACCGAGTGTGTCCGTCCTTCCAGAAGCTTCTACACTAATCCTCGTGCAAAGCTGTCGTGTGATTAGTATATGATCAATGGTGTTTGATTCGTTAAATTATATAGAGGTTTATTGTGTGTATGTATGTTGAACTTCTTTCGCACTGTACGCAGCCAACAGTGCTAATCGGAGGCTCATAATGTTTATCTGACACAAGCCAGCTCCGCTTAGACCTTGTGTTTGAATCTGGTTTTCCGTCACCAACCAGGTTCTCAAGTGCAGAGCGGATTATTTTTTCAGCCTGATAACCAATGACTGCAAGTGTGCTCAAAAATTGGTTTTAATTGCATGTCCGCATGAGGTAAAGCTTCGGAAGCAGACGCAGGCGTAAACCACTAGCTCAAATGCACAGTTGAAGGAGATGCAGTGGAGTTGTTGTGAGACAAACCTTTGAAGGACACTGGGCCAAGGCCAGGTATCCATTGCGAGTTGTTTCATGATAAGTGCTGCTCTGCACTCTCTACTGTATTAGGAACAGGAATGGATTGCAGTCATTTCCATGTTCGAGGCTTTAACAAAACATTTCATGGAAATAATCGCCATTTAGTTAAATAAAAGTAGTGCTTTGTGAATTGTATTCCAATCACAACTTGTATTGATAAGCTGGATCAAAAGTATATATCTTAATAAAAACATGTTCTATCTGTGTATTATGACCTTTATACAGTTAAACATGCATTTCAGATGCAACGTATCAGTAGTGATCATTACAGAGAAGCAAGCTTTTTGAAAGTGGAAATTAACTCAAGTTGTATGAATAGATTTTGATCGAAGCAAATTGAATTTTTCCTCCTTATGGGAGTACACAGTGACTGTGTGGATGCGATTGGTACGGTGGGAATCTACAGGGTGACTGCTTTTGTGAGCATCGGGGAGGCCCTCTGCTTACAGCCCTGAGCCAGTGGTGCAAATTGTACATCTCTATTGCCAGGGTGCCTTCTAGCAATAACCAGGGCTGAAAAGTACAATCATTAATGGAAATGAATTAATAGTAAATATTAATAAAAAATTTGATGCCCTTTATAAATCCTCTGCTTCTTGAAGGCCTATCCATTCTGTGCCGTTTTGCTTGACCAAAATGTATCACGCATCGGTCAGTGTGGTGTGGTGAAGTGAGTAGAATCCAGGACCCGTTCAGATATCACTCGCCACTCGTATTAGTGGCCAAGGCCGGAAATCCAACTCGACGCCGTGGGTTCATGTAGCAGTAGGGAATGCACCGTGCTCCTGCCGCACTCCCACTGATGGTGCCGGCATGGTGCATCATTTCATGCTTATGGTCATCTCAGCTTTGCAATAAATAGATCAGCAACAGTGTCCTATCGATCCAGTACAACTCCATACACGACTCGAGTTCTCACCGAACATCTCCTGGGTCCAGTGGGCTAACTATTACACACAGCAGCATCCCTTTTTCACCTTTACCCCTTTTTTTTGCCCGGTCACTTGAAGACTGGAGTGGGCAGCACGCGGCTAGTAGCCAGGAGAGGAAGACTGCCACCGTTGAGTCGCTAGGCGTACAGTGTATGTAGGTGGACACCTTGTGCCAATTGTAATCTCAATGTGATTCTCCAACTCTCGTGCTGAGTGACTCTGGTATCTCTCTCCCCTTGGCTGCGAAGGACTGACCGCGGCACGCAGGCACACACGCGCCGCCATGTGGGAACGATTCGCCTCTCAGCCCGGAGAGGACCATGACGACTCCTCTGACAAGTTCTCCGCTACTGAGTCCATAATCATGAATGGTACGTGCCGGGAGGGTTATTTTAGAGACAGAGTCCTCCTGTGATTGCTCATTGCGGATTACTCGGGCTTCTGTTAGCACGATAAAATAATGATGGAAAATTTTGATGTAAGTTGGGAGTGGGGGAGGGGGTGTAATCTAACCACGGGACAGCCACTGTTGATATCCCACAATTTGGTTCCTATTTTGTTGACACCTGAGAATGTGAGTTGAGCTCTCTAACCAGAGGTTTCAATCGTACTTATACAATATTAATGTGTTCTCTCTTTGCTCATTAATGAGTGCATATCAGCCGCTATGGCATGTGGATGAGAAACATCCACATTAACGAATGAATAAAAAATCAAAGAAGTATGGAGAGATTCATGTGATAGACAGAAATAGGAACATGTGGATTAGAAAACACAAGTAGATTAAAGACGTCTTGTTGTTAAGAAAAGTGAGTAGTCTTGGGTGCAGGACAGGTCACTGGGTGAGACTAACAGATCACTGGAAGCCAAGGAAGGAATCTCGCCTGAGAGGTCCATCCACTGCAGAGATGGAGCGAGGAAGTCGACTCGTGTGCAGTCGCTAGCATCACATTGTTACATCGCAGGACTGAGAGATGTTCTACGGTGTGGGGAAACCTTTATCCAGCAGTGGATTGATCATGGCTGATGATTGCAGGAGGATGTATTTGGTCTCCTCGTGAAGGCAGACGGAGCTCGTCTACATCCACAGAGGCGGCCGTCGCCGCTTTCCCAGTGACCTCGGGACACGTGGCTCTGTGTTTTGAGTGCACGAACAGGCGGTTCATTCACATTGCCCGTCCGCACTTTGTTTTAACTCTCCCAGGCGCATTTGATGTGCAGCCCAATTGCTCTACAACAAAAATAACTGGCACATGAAAACCCAGTATTATTGTTGAATTAATTAAATAAACGACCCAGCACGTACAAGGTTATTTTCCCACAAATCCGTGAGCGCTCTATTCGGTACTGGGTGCATCAAGCATACGTACGCGGGGGGGGGGGGGGGGGGGGGGTGTAAAAAGTACACGTGCATACAGGGAGGTGGGGAGGGGTCAAGTTTTGACAGGTTTTTGTGTACGTACTAAATGAATGGCCCATTGGCACAGATGGCTACAAACAGTGTGAGAGAGGTTCCACATACATAGTGTGTGAACGTGTGTGTAATTGTATATGTAAAGCCTTATTCAAACTGAATAATATCTGGGTCGGTGGTAGACTGGAATAGGTGGCACGTGACTAGAAGCCACAGCCATAGCAAGAAGTATTCTTCACGTGAAAATATTTTCCGGGTGACCGGCTCGGACAGACCAAGTTCAAATTAAGGCCTATGCGTGCAGGGAGCATTGTATTGTTGTGATTAGTACAAACCCGGAAAGCCAAGTTCGATTCCCACTTGCAGCCAAAATATCTTAACCAGTCCAGGGCCAGCCCTAGGTTGACTCAGCCTCAAATTAGTACCTGGTGCAAATGTGTAAATATCGCCAATTTGGAAACTAAGGTGGCCGGGCGAAGCGCTGGCCACCCACTCCCTCGTGTGCCGTGTTGGCCTTGATAGGTGTCGGCTAACAGCACTTGCCCCAACAGTCTGTTAAGGCTATACAGGAGTTCCTTGTCCTATATCTGAATGTATGCCTGTGTGTGTGTGCGCATTGTGAAGGCTCCCAAGAGAGGTTGCAGCAGAAGCTGGTTGGAGGAAGCGAAAGATGCAGAAGACAGCGGTGCTGCTCGGGGATGGAGAGCCCACGCTGTCTCAAGTGGGCCGTGCTGCTGCTGTACCTCCTCTCCAGCGTGCAGTTCACACTCTGGTTCACCACCGGTATGACACACGTTCTCACACACACACACGGACAAATATCCCCCATATAGCCCTTAACAGGCTGTTGGGGCAAGTGCCGAGAACCTATGAAGGCTGGAACAGCACACCACGTGTGGCCGCCTTTGTCTCCCCAGTGCTGATGTTTACTACACACCGCACCAGGTACTGACTGAAGGCTGAGACAACTTCAGGGGAAGCCCAGGACCGGTTCCGATGTTCGCTATCAATGTTCGTCATGGCCGGGAATCGCACTCTGTTCGTTTGGTTCATAGAGCAGTGCATTGACCACCACGCCACCACTCCCCAATACTGTACATACTCCTACACACAGATCCCCCCTATAGCCTTAACAAGACTGTTGGGGTTCTGTTAGCAAGGACCTATGAAGGCCGGGCACACAGACATACACAGGCATGTGCAGTACATGCATACGTGCACTTGGACACACACATACACGCCCACACTAGGGGTATATATTAAACATTCACAGAAGATGAGTGTGTGCGTCTGTTGAGCGGCCAATTTCCACAAAGTTCTACCTGTGTCTCGACTCCAGAGGAAGAGTAAAATCTAGTTGTGAAAATTCCACATTACCAGTCTCTATAGGACGGCTTCTCTTGTGTTTTAAAAGAGTGGAAGATGATAATACTAATTTACAGCGCTTTTGCCAATCCACTACTGGATGAGGGTCTCTCTACATAGGGGATTATTTTACCATACTTGACCATGTTGGTCAATACAGGTTGGTGATAGTGAGGAGCATAGATGATAGATGACGGTTCAATGACTGATTTTGCTGATGACATAGTATGATGATTATTATTACCATCATATGATGACACTAAAAATAAGGATGTTGACAATAACACCAGTGGCAATAATTATAATATGATGATGATAAGTCAACCACCAACCCTGTTTTGAACTCTTGAACCAATCGGCTGCTCTGTAGGCGCTAGGTGGATTACTACACTGTAGGATCGCGAGAAATGGTGGCGCCTTGTGGAGGCCTTCATCCAGCAGTGTATTGATAATTGCCGATGATGGCACCATCACCTCCCCCCAACCCACTCGCTGTTATCTCCACCACCAGTCTCGCTGTCATCACGTTACGCCATCGACGCTGGCAGTCGGGCACCGGCAGAGCAAGCGGCCGCCCTGGACGGCGGTGGCAGCGGCAGCGTGGTGCGCGCCGTCCATCTGCTCCGGCACGACGTGGCGCGCGTCTCTGAGCGCCTCGCCGGCGCCGAGAAGGCGGCGAGCACGCGTACGACGCGGCTGCAGCAGCTGGCGCTGCTCGCGCAGGCGACGGAGGAGCGGCTGGTGCGTGCTCGGGAGGAAGCCGCCGTCGCTGCCCGACGTTTCGACGCGGCGCTGGCGGAGCTGAGAGCCGAGGCACGAGACGGCGCGAGGGCCGCGCGGGACGGAGGCCGCGAGGAGGCGGCGGCGCTCGCGGCGCGCATCGCCAACCTCACAGCCGCCGTGTGGGACGTGCGACACGGGGTCGCGGAGCTGCGCGACGACGTGGAGGAGGTGCGCGCCGTCGACCGCTGGGGCGCCGCACTGGCTGGAGCGGTGAACTTGACCTTGGCGAGAGGTGAGGGAGATGTGCGTGCGTGCATCCGCGTGTAACGGCGTGCGTGCGTGCACACGCTTGCCTCTTTACATCTCCAGGTGATCCACAATGCCACTGCCAGACTTCTCACACGCACCTTTAAATGAAACTACATCAGCACAGAATACGGTCCCTCCTGGCTTCCTAATTTAATCCCTCACTCTCAACACTTGCACCCAGCACCCCCACAGCTTAACGAATGGATCTGTGCATCTTATGGTTTTGGCTGCAGGACCACCTGGGCCCAAAGGAGACAGAGGGGACCCTGGTCTCCCTGGCCAGAGGGGACTGCAGGGTTTCAAAGGGGATGCTGGAGAGAGAGGTACACTGCGTGTTTGTGCCTCGTATTTCACACCGCTTGGTTTGCCTGTCCGTATGTTCGAGGTAAATGACTGCTTTCGCGATAACGCGCGGCAGTGGGTGTAATGCACACTGCTGATCCAGCGCCGCCTCCACCGGATTTTTTATTTCCACGACTGGCTTCGGGTTGCTATTGGAGGTGAACACTGCCATTCACTTACTTGAACAGGGAGACGCTCCATCTGGGTACCGGCGTTTGCAAGATGTTATCTCCCTTGCCTAGAATGCAGGAGGTGGTGGGTTCGATCCCAACCCTGATGCGATAAGCCACTTTGTTCAGCTATCATTTGTGGCCAGGTCGCCTTTGAAAAAGAGCTAATAGCTCAGTGGATTTTATCTGGTAAATAAACTGGTTTAGCTATTTTTTTTAGATTCTTGCGAAACCACTTTCAGCTGTGCTCTTTCGCAAGATAATTGTGGCCAGAATAGACTCACCCCACTGGCTTTGTGGTCACTGGGGGGCAGGTCTGGCAGCAATGAGCAACGACTGTGGAACTTGCTGACCTCCATCCCAGCACCGTGCATAGGTGTGGCAGCTGCAGTTTTTCACAATCAAACAGGGCGTACGTGTTAAGAAGCTCATAATGGCTGGCACCCGAACTTCATGTTCTATTGAAGAGCACCTGTAACCGATATGTGAGGTTCCGGGTTCGTGTGTCCGGCCTTCAGCTGTCGCATTCTCACGGTGAATTGGCTGCGTGTGTACATTTACCAGTTCCATTTAATATCAATGGCACAACTGATACAGCAGTGGATTGACGAGGGGCTGAGAATTATTATTTACTTGCATCGCTGTTTTATAAGATGTGCAATTCCACTGAATTCTTTAAACATCAAGATTTTTACATTATGCATGTAAGTCCACTGAATTCTTTAAACATCAAGATTTTAACATTATGCATGTCCTTGCTAAAGGCATAGTTATTGTTGAAGAGCAGGTGTGAAGTGTTTATTGTATTTATTTACTCTGTAAACAAACCAAGCACTTTGGTTTTGAACCAGTTTTGGTTGCATTCGTATCGTATCTTGTCTCCGATGACGACAATTGTTCTTTTGTATCTAACTATTCCAGGACCCCAGGGGTTCCCGGGCCCCCAGGGACAGATGGGACTCCGAGGCCCCATGGGTCCTCCAGGGATGGCGGGGCCGCCAGGTAAGGGAAAGGAATCGCTGATCCATATCTAACTGGGATCCTAGTCCATTGTAGCGACCACGAGAAGTGTAGCTCGGAGGCATGGGGAGTGGGGTTGGATTATATGTGGCTGGCGCTCTGCTAAGTGGGTGCAAGGCGACGTGGCATTGCGGTGAGAGTACCCGACTCGCAATTGGCAGATGGTCAGTTTATATCTCATTCAGAGACTGACTCATCCCAATCGTTGCCACCGCTCCAAGGGTGGTAAAATGAGTACCACTCTGTGGAAAGTAAATGGTGATCTTCCTGAAGATCTAGTGGATGCCACCTATGAGATGTAATATTTCCATCTCGAGCTGTGTGGTCAGTAAAATTATTACAAATTTGTGGAAAGCCAACAGTTGTCATCGTTTGGAATGGCTGATCCCCCCCCCCCCCCCTCCATTATAGGAATGTGGAATTTCCACGACTGGCTCAGAATCATGAAGAGAAATGAACGCCATCCCACACTTAATTGAACAGGGAGACACTTTTAATGGGATTTGTCATCTGTGAAAGTAACATTTGCCGGATGTTGACTTTGTGTATTAATCTCCTTCAGATGATTCGATTCCCACTCACGCTCGCTCAGTAATGGCTTTGGATGCAGAGCACTAACACGACGAGAGCCGATGTGAGATTCGTTTTGGCGTTCGCGAAGTAACAAACGCAGAGCAGCGCTCTTACTAACAGGTTCAAGTAGTTGTGGAATATAACACACAGCTTATAAGTCGTCAGTTCCACACATCAATCGTACGTGGAAATATTTTAACTTAAGGAATTTAAACTCGATGTCCAACAGAATACGGTATATTCTAGATTTGAAGTTTTCGTGACTGCAAGGATCCATACTCTTTGGTTCTTTCGGTAAAGTCACGTAGGTAAAAAATAAAAATTATAATGAAAATAATGAAATAAAATAGAATTTTATTATTTTCATTTTATTATTTTCATTATTTTTATTTTTCATCTACGTGACTTTACCGAAAGAACCAAAAAGTGTCATACGGTATGTCATGCTTAAACTTTAGCATTTTTAGAGCTTTGTTCATAGACTACACTGCAGTATAGCCGTCAAGGTGTCTCTGCTTCAGCTGCAGATGCTCAATCAATCCTGTGCTGTGTTCAGTTGGCAAAGGCATGATTAGCTGAATATGCGATTACTCATGATGAATGAGTGGTGTTTATCACATTGTCGAAAGCCAATGTTTAGAAAATCAGGCAGGCCTCCACAAAGTCTAACTTTTAAGCGAATGCAAAAGGCCAAAAGCCCACAAAGGCTCTTGGGATTGTAGATAACAATCACATTTAAGTTTAACAAGCTGCCTTTGTAGGATCCCATAGTTTTCTCTTGCCAGGATAAATAACAACCACAATTCTCTTTCAGTAGGGTCCTGGGAAAGTGGGATTTTTGACCAATACCATTTGGATTTTTTTTGGGAGGAAACTGCAACGTACAAGAAACACTCGCATGTCACTCATGCATGGAAATAGGACTCAATCTCTTATTGCACACTTGCAGTTGGGTAATGCCCACGCTGTGGTGCTGATGATCACAATCAAAGATTAAAACTGTACACTACAGCTGTGACAGTTCTGTTGATGCCAATAGCAGCATAGAGTCACGATCCCGCTTGTAAAAAGGCGTTTGACTTTACAATGCCTCTCACTATATTCCTGGTTCTTTCGGTAGTCACGTCGATAGAAAATGAAAATAAAAGTAAAATTTTAAAATAAAAGCAAAAAACCACGATGTTTCGATCGCAACACAAGCGGTCTTTGTCATCGCTCCGCCTGACTTTGCCAAAAGAACCAAGAATATGAATTCCTGCAGTCACAAAAGTTTTAAGTCAAAATGCCTCTCACTGTTGGCATGCGCGGTTTGGATTGAAATATGCAATGATGCCTTATAGGCTTTCATATTCAGTGGGCAGCAGAGGGCAGTACAGCAAAATCCATTGTTTAACTGTACTATGCTCCCCCGCCTTTGCTAACCCCGCACTGAACAGCGGCGGAGTGTCACAGGGTCGTAAGTTCACATTATGTCATGGAGAATTAGGATCCAGCAGTGCCTTGCATAGTGCGCTGTTTAAATTTTTGGTACTGTTCTTTAAAAGAGAACCCACCATCTGTACTGCAGCAGCTTCCTGGAATGGATTGCCACCTGTCAGAATGGAGCCACCTAAGCAGGCGTCATGATAGCCCTTAAAAGTAATTGGGGTGAATTTACAGACCGACCCACGCACAGACAAACAAACATTAAACACGTGAATGCTCTGCCTGTTTACACAGCCCCGCTGTCAGAACAGGGGCTCGAACCGGTGACCGAAGAACATAGAGCCGAGTTTGTCGACATGCAAACCCAGATTGCGCCCATCCTCGCCAGCGTCACTCGTAAGGGGACCGAGCGTCGCACGTTGTACGCTTTGTCGAGGTGGCACTGCTACTTGCTTGATAGCTGCGGTGCAAATAAAACGATGGTTTGGGAGCTTGACGGTCGTTTTCCCCTGTGATTTAGAACGTATTCCACACACTTTCCCCCATCGTGTTCCATTAATCTCTGAAACGATTTAGGTTATATTTTGAAAGCGATGGGCAGAGTTTTAGGCAGATGAGCAACACCAAGACTGACTAATGAGAGAGAGCTTTACGTTGACTTCTGACCAATGGCGGCGTCCTATCATTTTTTTCCATTTGTGTTATTCATGGTTATAGTTAGCGTCAGGGTGAGAACTACAGTTTTAATGTTCATGCTGCAAATCCATGAATAAAGTATATTTAATTTAGCACTTTCAAAGCTGAACAGATGATACTAAGAACCTACATGAAGGATGTAAATGTTATTACATAATTACATCTTTGTAATTAAATCCACTAAATTATTATAATGGAAAACATTTTGGTGGGATACTTTCCGAAATACATGAAAACGGCTTTCAGTTCAAACCACAACTTTTTGCATCATTTGGCCCACTCATGGTGAGGATCAATGGGAGCTCCAGATCTTTGTGCTGCAAGTGGGTGGTTTTGTCAAATAAAAGTCAAAACAACCCCTACAATGCAGTGCAATGTCCCGTTACAAGAATGCCTACTTCAGTGTGTTTCCATTACCTTCTGGTTAAGCCCGTTGCTGTATAGGGGTATTTGTTAATTGATCTTATTTCCCTTCTCATCTTTGCCTCCCTCCACTCCCATATTCACATCGCGTAACTCAAGCTTCCCACTTTTGAGAGCATTTGAAGGCGTGGATGCAAATTGTCTTTGTGACGAGAAGCTATGGGTTTAAAAATAACAATGCATCCGAGTAGAGACATTGTTTGAGGATCTGACATTTATCGCAAGGTTTCAAATTTACAATTTTCCCCTGGTGGTCACGTGATCTGAATTCCATGGTTAGATGATGCCAATAGTACAGCCTTGGCCCTGGTGGTCAGAGTGCACTTGGAAGTTTATATGGAGTTGATGGTTCGATTCCCACTACCATTGTCTAGTAATTTATGCAAAGAATTACCAAAGCATGTTTGCCTTTTGATTTAAAGCTTTCGTGACTGCAGGGATTCATATTCTTGGTTATTTCGTTAAAGTCACGTTGAAGGGAAACAATAAAATAATAATTTTTATTGTTTTATATGTATTTTATTATTTTATTGTTTCCCTTCTGCGTGACTTTACCGAAAGAACCAAGAATATGATGTTTGCTGTGAGGTGAACTATTAAAGGCCACATAACCTCATCAGTCACAAGAGTAAGAAATTATGTTCAGAATCAGAAATGGATTTCCCCGAATGAAGCCCCATTGAGCTAAGAAGCTCTTTTAAAAGGGTGACTCAGCTAGAAAACAACATGAAAGCATTCCTGAGTCTCAACCCTAGTTACTTTACTCATAAAACAATGAAAATGGTCAACTTTGAAGATGCATTTAATCCATCCCTTGCGCAAGTGACACATCCCCTGATGTGTTTTCGACCACCGAAAGACAACATGTTTTGCTATACATAATTAAGGTTTCCCTGCTTCCAGCGCTGCCTGCTTTGTTTGCAGCACATTCCCCAACCGTGCCTCTCGCCAGATGCACCCCCTGACCCATTGGTTGCGCAGCAAAAAAACCCACTGCCTTCCTGTAAAACACAGTCCGTTTGCATCCGGGTGTTCATAGGCCTCAACTGCTGTTTCATGCACACGTTTGTTCGGCATGCTGGCTTCTTTCCCCGATCTTTACCGAATCCGTGCGAGCCCCTGGAGGGTACTAACCGTGTGAGTACAATTAATGCATGAAATGTGGACATTGATTTAAATTAAGCTTAATTGCTTTTGGCCTTCATTTCAGGGCCACCTGGGCTGAAGGGAGAAACAGGTGAGATGAAAAATGTGCTGATTCTGTATTGTGTGTGCGTGGTTTTATTTATGCCATCAGTGCCCTGAAGCCAGCAAGTGGTGAGATCTTAAAATTATCACAGCTTCGTGGGATGCCAACAGTAGTCTGACGGGAGTCACTTGTTACCTCAAAGGGAAAGTAGAATTTCCACCACTGGCCCAATAAACATGCTGCTTCTGTATCTCCATGTGTCCCTCATGTGTTCTATGTATCTCTTGTGTGTCCATCCCATGTATCCCACACAACCCAGCCGTGTCTCCCGTCACCAGATATCCCCAATGTTTCACTTTTTATCTCGTGTCTGAGGTGTGTCTGCTTCAGGTTTAACGTGTGTCCTATGTTTCCCCCACATCCTTCATGTCTCCGTGTATCCCCACATCGTTCGTATCCCAATGTCCCATGTACTCCCACATCACACACGCGTGTACATGCGTTCCCATCTCGACCATGTTCCATTCAACCTTGGTCCCCACGTGGCATCCTACTTGTCTCTCAAACGTTCTCTCTTCTCCCCCTTGTTCTCCACATCCCCCGTCACCCCGGCCTCCACTGTGTTCCTGTCACCCCCACACCTCGTTCGCCAGGCGGAGCGGAGTGCGGCGTTCGCCTGGTTGGGGGCGCAGGCCCCAACGAGGGCCGGCTGGAGGTGCTGCATAATGGGATCTGGGGCACCGTGTGCGACGACGAGTTCGACTTGGCCGACGCAGACGTAGCCTGCCGCTCGCTCGGCCACCGTGGTGCCATCAACTTCCATGACAGCGCTCGATACGGACAGGGTGAGCCGTGCGGCACGCGGGTTACGGGGGCGCAGGCACAGACGGTCAGGTGGGGTGGTCGCCTGGCCAGTTCGCTCGTGTTGGTTGCCTGTGAAGGTTTAATATAGAAATCTCTGCGAGTTTCCCGGGAGTTCTTGTAGCTGGCTGTCATTGAACTGTAGACTCAACTCGAAAAAAGTTCTGTAAAGCTTTGAATGCATAAGGCATCCCTTCTTCATGATGGTCTTCACGCTCTAGGGATGGTGTAAATACCGCATGTAGATATGCTGGCAACATGTAATCCTGCCACGGTTGCCAATCAGGTCATCAGTAACATCATGGCTGATGTACCTGCGCTGGTTAGGCACTGCCTCACCAACACTTACTTTACCTGGAATGGTACCTTCTATAAACAAAACGAGGGTACCCCTATGGGTTCCCCCTTGTCACCAGTGATAGCCAATGTTTTCATGGAGAAGTTTGAATCAGACGCCATCCAGACTTCCACCCTTCGTCCTTCCCTGTGGAAGAGATATGTGGATGACACTTTCGTCATTTGGCCACATGGCCTCCCAGCATTGAACCATTTCCTAGACCACATCAATTCCAGACACCCATCCATCAAATTCACCATGGAAATGGAGAAAGATGGCAATCTGCCATTCTTGGATGTTCTGTTTGAGAGGAGGCTTGATGGCTCTTTTGGGACATTCTGTTTACAGGAAGGCCACCCACACAGATTCCTACTTGAAACCTGATACCACCACCGCTCGGCTCAAAATAATTATCTCATCAAACACTATACCATTGGGCTCATTGCATTTCTGACCAACACCACCTGGCCAGTGAATTAAAACATGTACATCTGGCCCTCAAGATGAACGGATACTCTGACCGTACTATCCGCCAAGCTGTTTCTCCCACCGTACAGAAACAACCACCTGATACTTCGATCAAAATCATCACGTTGCCATACATAGAAGGCGTTACCAAAAAGATTTCCAAAATTCTAAACAAACACAAGATCCAGGTCCGGTTCAACACAGTACACAAAATTTGTGATCTGATCCCATCCGTAAAGGATGTCATTCTGGACTTGCAGTACCCCATTGTTTACAAATTGAGTTGTACCTGCGGTGACTGCTATATCGGGGAGATGAAACGACATATTTCTGACCGAATTCGCGAGCACAAATCAGATTAGAAACACGGCAGAATGAATTCTTCGGCCGTAGCTGATCACTGTTTCAACACAGCGGGTTCTCATGATATTGTTTTCTCCGATACCAAAGTACTCTGCAAACCTCCCGGATACTACCAAAGATTTGTCCATGAGCCATCCAGATAAACAAACATAGACACAACTTCAACCGAGAGGATGATTTTAAATTGAGCAATCATTGGAAAGATGTTATCAACCAAGTCAAATTTTAGCTGGCTTATAATTGTACAGCCATTGCCATTTCTTCCAGTTGGCTCCGCTTGCTTTCGATCACCGCACGCCATCGCCTCTCCGTCCTCCTCACCCCCCTGCAGAATAACAAAAGGCGGCTTAACTTAGCACCCCCCTCCCCTCCACGGCCCTTCCTGGCTCCTCCCCCCCCTTAACCTGTATATAATCTCGGGTATCTTAGAGCTCTCTTCACTTGATACAGCAATTTTGCTGTGACGGTTTCCACCTGAAGATGGAAGCTTGTGTTGCCTCCGAAACGTCGTGATTTAATTGAGTTGTTTTCATTTATTTGACCTACGTGACTTTACCGAAAAAAAACAAAGTGAATCCTTGCAGTCACGAAAGCTTCAAATCTAGAATCATGGCTGACGATCAGCGTTGCTGGCGATGTACACAGCTGCTGCAGCCACAGTTTCTCTGCATGACACTGCGTCATCTGCGCCGTGTGCCGCGTCGTAGGTGAGGGCCCCGTCTGGATGGACGCGCTGGAGTGTGACGGCTCAGAGCGCTCGCTGTCCGACTGCGCCTTCTCCGGCTGGGAGATCAGCGACTGCAATCACGACGAGGACGTGGGCGTCGTCTGCCAGGCCTAGGGGCAGCGGCAGTCGCCAGCTCGGTGGTGGTGGTAGCCCGGTGGTCATGGCTTTACCAATGCCGTGAGACCAACCATGACCCCTGACCCTGGCTTGTCTCCACGTTCCCTGACCTTTGTGCTGATGATTGTTCTCTAAATCCGACCCATCACCTTGAAAGTAAGTGACATCAGAGACCCAAACCTTGACGTTAACCACAGTTCTGTGGCCAGTTGCATAAATCAGAGTAAGTTAATCTCTTTTCTTGGCTTACTGCACTGGTTCACATTGCAAAATAAATTAAAATCACGACCTTAGGCTGTTTCATGCACCGTGACCAAACCTTATCTTCCAATTAGCCCTGAGCTTATTATGCATAATGTCATTGACTGTACCCTTGACTTAAACCTGCAGATGCAATTCCAATTAGCCCTGAGCTTATTATACATAATGTCATTGACCGTACCCTTGACTTAAAACTGCAGATGCAATTCCAATTAGCCCTGAGCTTATTATACATAATGTCATTGACCGTACCCTTGACTTAAAACTGCAGATGCAATTCCAATTAGCCCTGAGCTTATACATAATGTCCATTGACCATACCCTTGACTTAAAACTGCAGCTGCAATTACAATTAGCCCTGAGTTTATTATACATAATGTCATTGACCATACCCTTGACTGAAAACTGCAGCTGCAATTCCAATTAGGCCAGAGCCTTGACCTTAAACCTCAACATAAGACTGACATGGAGTTATACCATTGACACTCATACCTGTCAACTCATATGGTTTACCCCATATTCTTGTACAGGGAAATTTAGTTTTCAGGTCCATACAGCGTACAGCCGTTTCAATACGGGCAAAAAAAACATAATTTGTTTGTTTGTGTTTCTTCCTTGTGATGGGACTTTGTAGGATGAATGTTGAGATTTATTAGGGCACGGGGTGACCAATAAGGTTTGGAGTGGTCTACAATAAGGTTAGGCACTGATAAGGGGGGTTGACAGGTATGGACACTTGACCTGTACCTTAATCTGAACGTGATGAAACGAAGCAGCTGTTGCATTCAACATCCAGAAGCAACCACTCCTTAACTTAATATTCCTATTATGATTCTAATGGACCCTTGTAAGTTCAGTCAATTGTAGGCTCTCAAACCCACACTTCCTCCCCGAAAAGCCAACCGTATTCACAAGCAATCCCGCAGTCTCCACAATCGATGCAGAACGCCCAGCTCTGTAACCCCCCTGCTAGGCAAATCCCCTCTCCTAACCACCACCGGGAGACCTTGAGACACCAATGCACATATCCAAGGTGCAGATTTGGCGTCAGTATTATGGCAATGACAGATGACTAGAGAAAGCGAGGCAGTAGACTGGAGGAGGTGAGTGGTGCATGTTGTCATAAAGGCATCGGGGAACGTAGCACTTGTTAACTATTTGCTGGAGATAGGAGCTTACGATTTAAAGGTTTGTTAATTTATTGGTGCTAGCTTTTCCCTGCTGCAGCATAATGGTATAGGTTTAATCTCCTAAACCTTTGTTGTCATGGACTCTTACGAATTATTTAAGGCAGTCATTCCAATAGTTTCATATAAAAGCTTATTACTTCCCTCCCTCTCGGCTACCTGGCAATTAAAAATTATCATATCTAAAGGTGGCCAGGTGGCTTCGAGGTCAGAGCGCTGTGCTGGCAACGCTGAGGTCGTCGGTTAGAATCCTGGCGGCAACCTCTGACTGAGGCAGGTTCTCAAGTGTAATGAGTTGGTGGTCTCGGACTGGCCAACTTAATATGGAATTTCAGGTAAATTCTAACTTTTAAGAATTAAAAATATCGGTTGACTGCCAAGCACCGACAATTTTGCTCTGTAGTATTGTTTGCGCCCGAGTGTAGATTAGGGGTCACCTGAAGAGAGATTTCACCTGAAATAGTTCTGTGATATCTCCTTGCGCTGACCATTCTCTGAACACAGGGTAATGCAACTCTGTACAGCAGTTTCACACGGATTTGTTATCTCTTGACATGAAACGCAGTCCGGCAAAAATTCAGAGAAAAGACAACATTTCTATATTTTCAACAAATTATCCCATCTCTTCAACTATATATCTACCCTGGTGCTGATTGTGAAGCCGTAAGCAACCCCGGGTGCTCGCTGGGAGCCACAGCGCCAGCGAGCGTAAGTTTCTCGCTCTGCGCCGCTGCCTGCAACTTGAGTGGCAGCACCATGAGTTCGCTCGCGGTGGCCACGGTAAAAGTCGTGCGGGGGAATCGAGCCCCTGGGCTATGGTTTACTGTTGTCCCCCCCCCCCCCCCTTTCCCCGGTTGGGTCATCATGAGCAGGACGAGTGTATGCGGGTATTTGGGTGTACGCTGGTATTAATTGGCATCAGGCAATTGGACCCATGCTGTAGCAATTGTAAGAAGCGAAGAGCACAAGATAACTGGAGCTCTCCGGTGTGTTTTCGAGTCGTGCTGCATGCTGTCCGACACGGTGTCCAACATTTCGCTATATGTGCTGGGAGCTTTTTCAGTCTGTTCCTGAAGAAGCTGCCAGCCAGTGTAGCGAAACGTCGGACATCATAGGTTTACCATACACTGCAGCAAGAAGCTCCTCCGGCCACGCGGAGAGAAATGTCGTACGTGGTGCCGAACAGTGCACGGCACCACCCAAAAAACATGTTGGGAGAGCTCTATAACTGTGAACACCTGCGCGTTGTGAGTTGACTACGGGTTCCTTAGCTACCCTACCCCCGCCCCCGTTTGCCCACCCTAGCCATTATCACTCACGCAGTTGTTTTGATTGATTACCATTTATCCGGTGATGCTGTGTCGGTGCAGCAAGCGGTGGTTGGAACTCAGTGCCTTATTGATGGGGATGAGGTTCGGATGCTGTCTTGGCTTAGGCTGCCTCTTCAAATGGCTTAATTTCTTAGAAGTCAAATGCAGTGGCCCAGTAAAACCCCACTTGAGTTAAAATCCGGTGAAGTTTCTCCCACCCGGGTTGGTGCAGGTGTTTGTAGGAATTCAAAGTGTATCAGGTGGTAACCGTAGCATTTACGTACGGGGCACGGTGGTTCCCGGAGAATCGTAGCAGGATCTTTAAGCTATTGTTACATTAATTTACACCTCAAAATGTTGGGGGTGTTTGGGAGAATTCGGGGCGAGGGAAGAACACGTTGGGAAACGGGGATTATTGCGGATTAGCTGTGGGCGTTTAAAAAAAAAAGAATACATTACCACCCACGTTTAAACGAATCACACCCTGTCCACTGCATGAATCAGAGTGAACAAAGCGATGGACAACTTGCCCAAACGTGAAGTTGGGTAGCTTGCTTGGAAACCCCACGAGGTAGGGGTTAGTGGGGGTGTGATCCAACCTGTTTGATGAGATGATGGGGAATGAACGCAACTGACCGAGGGTTCCGCTGTGGAGGGATGGAGGCCACTGTCATCGTCCCAACAAGGAAGGGTGCCTTACTCGAGCTGGGTTAAGGAGAGAGGGTAGACGTGCTTGATGATTGGATGGCCCATGTTAACAAACGAAAAAAATCGATCTTAACACGTAGGCTTTCGCGACTAATATCCATAATAAATATAAATGTGTTATTGAACCCGCCACCACCCGACAGCCAATTAGTAAGGTTTCTCATGTAAACAAAACATGCCAATTCGTTACTAGTTCAGCCCACCTGTGGGGGCGTACTAACTAATTGGCATGTTTTGTTTATGTACCTTACTAATTGACCGTCGGGTGGTGGCGGGTTTAACAACACATTTACGCGATCTCACCCAAAAAACGTCAAACTAACAAAAAATCCTTGCTTTCTCTGCCAGTTGCGTGTTAAAAAAAATATCAATTGTGAGGTCCCCATGAGAGCAAGGTTCCCCCCCCCCACTAAAGTCTGTCATCACAGTGAATCACGTACTCTGCTGACATATCAGACAGGCACACAAGCCATACATACACACATGCACATACAACACACAGAGACATACAATACTCGCACATGTACAGTATACGTCAAATACAAACATTCTCAAACGTAAATGCACTTTCACACACAAAGATCTCTTGTTTAGCCTTGGGAGATCAAAGGGGCAAGTGCCGTTAGCGAGCACCTATAAACGCCAGCACAGCACTGACCCAGTGCTAGGTGGGGATGTTCAGCCACCACAAATCCATCCCCACATGTTTGGTCGTGTCCAATTGATGAGACCGTTACTTAGGGCCTGACCCAATCCTGTGTGCATCAGTGCTGCCCCGGAATCATCTGGGAAGCTTCACCACAGCTCGGACAAAGTGGCTCCTCCGCTCTGTGCGTCTGTGAGGGGGTTCGCTGGTTCGAACCCAGGCTCCCCGGCGATTGCCAAGGGCAGCTCTGGGTGCTGGCGGGCACCGTTACCTTCTCCTTGCGCATCCAGCCGTTATGAAACTCTCCGATGGAGGATGCACTGCTATACTTGGGGACGATCCTTTGCAGTGGCCCCCAATTCTCCGTGTGAACCCGCGAGATCGTTTGTTCCGTCCCGTTTATTAGCAACTGCCGGTATGCAGTGTGCGGCGGTCGTTAATTTAGTTAGCTAAACACACCATTGCATATTTAGCGTGCTAGAATATAATAACCCGGTCTACACGTAGCGACTATATACAGAGCGATTTTTCATTTGACGGACTGCCTGTTCAAGCTAGCGATTGGCCCTGATTGTCGTTTGGTATTGGGCAACGAGGTAACGATGTGATGTCCCTTACTAGGGCAGTGTCGCTTCATGTGCCATCGTGTTCTGGTGTCATTGCCGCACGTCTGTGGCCAGGTAATCAAGCTGCGCACGCCTATTGCGTTGTTGTAGCCCAGGACTGTAGCATTACATTGCCACCCAGATCGACGGCGACTCCCGTTTTTCACCCTGTAACAGTGCCGCGTGTGGACCGGGCCCCCCGAATCTTCATTTAACCGTGAAACGTGTTTGTGTATCGACCTTGCCAATGGGCGTAAGTGCAATCGCGGTCGCGGCGTCAGTGTGCGAACGTCCCGACTTGCAACTGGTAGCCGTTGGCCGTCTGGAGTGCAGTGCCGGAAGCTCTTGTTTTTTTTTTTCCCCCAAGTGTTGAGGCTTGGACACTAAATATCTGTGATGGAGAGAAGCCCTCGGCAGCTGCCAGTTGGTGCCCTCGACGCAAAATGTTTGCATGCGGAGCGAAACAAAGCGAGGCATGGGTTGAGCCACCAGTAATGCACAATCGAGGGGTGCCACGTTGCGCGTGCCACTGACGAAGCCAATAGCACACGTGGGTGCTTTAAGTATTGGTAACGGTGGTAACGGCTATGGATTTAGCACAGTTGGCTTGAGTAATGGATTGACCTCACTTTGAATATCAACTTGAGATGGCTCGTTTTACGTTCCTATGTTACGTCTGGCAGTGAGCCACACGTTTCTTTTTAGGTTTAATTTTTAATGTGGCTGAGGTGGTCAGACGGCTCGTGATCAAACACCCCGTCTCAAGTGTAGAAAGTTTGGTGGTATTAACCAAGTCATCAATGAATACAAAAAACATCTTCCAGTGTATATGTTATTCCTTGTTTCGGCGTAGCCCTAATTTGTAGGCTGAAGTGGACCAATATCTTGGATGATTAGCATTCGACAGACCACTCTTTTGCAGAGCATTAACGAGTGCCATCTAGTGTTAGGTTTGAGGAGCTGTTGAAGTGACTAAAGTAGTTCTGCAGTGTCAACTTCCGGAGCCGTTCCATGACATGACATGAGGCTCTGCCGCCTGTAGGTGTTTTGGAAGATAAGATCTCCATCGGACAACATGACTAATACCACAGGTGCAAAATGTAGCCATATGTTTATAGATTCCCAAAATGACTGGGTGAAGTCCATGGAACGGCCTCGCATGCATAAAATTGCCAGAGGGCATCTTAGATACACTCTTGGACAGAACTGAATCCCTTAAACACACTTAGCCTGGGAGATGTTTTTTTAATAAGCTTCCCTTGGTGTTTGACGCAAGTTCATGGTACATTTTAAGACCATGTCGTTGAACACCTGTTGGTCAAAAGCAGACATTTTGTATCGTGAAAGTTGATGGCTGCCCCGGGGTATTTCTTGTGCCTTGTTTATGGTTCCTTTAAAATTAAAAATAAAAACTGAATGAGCCACGGTACTGCACATCCACAACTATTTATACAACATGTTCCGATATTTCTTAATTTAATTTTTTAAAATGTAGACTTTCAAAATAGGAGGCTGCTTACTGGAAGCCTCTAAACAGCCTTGGAATATTTTAAAGGCAAGAGTTGCAAAACACGACTAAAGTTTTGATGGCGAAGCTGTTTTGTGAATGGAAACATAATACTTCGACATATTTAGTATGAATATTTTGGTAAATATAGCCAATGTCAAACATACACAATACATGTGTAAGTGGTATATTCAAGCCAGTATATCCTGGATGGCTGGGTGTCCCAGCAGTTAGAATGCTTACCAGAGCCAATTTGCATCGAAGGTTTGGTTCCTGATACAGCCCCACAGGATTTACCAAACGGCTCCATCTGCTTTGAAGTGGACACTAAAGGCCCAAATCTTATATTAACTGAGAGTAAATGTGCTCTGTTAACTTCAGTTCGGGTCGAATTGGGGTAAACTTAGCCGATCATTGGACTTCCAGGGTTGATTAAACCAGTGCCACTTCATTCAGGGACGTCAGCAGTGTGTCTGTCATTGAAATGACTCTACCCTGCCATAATAACATGGAATGTCATACCACTGGCTCATGAACAGCAGAGATGAGCACCGACTAATGCTCGGTTTTATCATGGAGACAATTTTACTCCATTATATGTACGTGTGTGATGCATACAATCTAGAATAAGAGGTGACAATGCATTAAATTTGAAACTTGATTGAACTAAAACTGCTTCGCTAATTTGTGATTAGCAGTGATTTCAACGAAAGATGATTCCGCCAAACAAAGCTGTTTTACAAAAATCGCGCTGCGTGAATTTGTTAAAGCTTTGCAACGCTTCCCTTGAAAATGTATTCCTTTTGCGTTGTTTTTGCAAGAATTGTGCGTTTTTTAAAATCTTTAGCATTGAGTGAGTAACAAGAAATGCACAAAGTGTGTGTGCGCACCAGGGAACGTCTGATAATCTCGTCGATCTGTACCGGTTGAAAGCGAAATGTGCTTTGTTGTGATAACGATGATGTTGGCGACGATGATGTTGGCGACCATTATGGTGATTCCGCTGATTTTAAAGGCAACGCTACTAATGTTTAGATCTGGTAGGTAAGATTGAGATTACGTGACGAATCGGCCAACTGAGCCTTACTTAAAACTCACTTGATTTTAATAACAGCAGCAAGTGTAACATCTGCACGGGAGCCTGAGGCGGTGTCCCGGATTCCGCTCTGCAGTCCTGTAGTTGTGGGCATCAGCTCACATCGTTTACATCTGATCAGTGAACTCTGCCAATTGAACCAATGGCCAGCAACAGCTCTAACATCAGCTTTTGTAACTAAAACTATTTTATTCAGGCCTTTTTGACTCGCCCTCCCCCCAAGGACGTTGCGGTTTTCCCGTGATCTGTACGAACTGGGCTGTTTCTTAATCCCGGCTCTGCCGCCTGCCACCCTGGCTGAGGTTAATACTACTGTGCCCTGGCTCCAGTAACAGTTCACTGTGGTTCTTACGTCTGCGAGTGCCACTGGCTGCCCACAAGGTTGTTTAAAGTGCGAGGGTTGCCGCGCAAGTTGCAAAAACGCGCGGCCTGCCCTCAGGAAGACGCAATGGCGCATGCGATGAATGGCTGAGCCTTGTTCTTTGACATCAGCGCCCCTCACTCATTGCTCGAGAAATAAAACTAAAAAAATATTGCACGACCACGGGCCACGTCTGTATTTATTTTGTGCGTCTTTGATTGTGAGTGGTGGCACACATCCCACTACATTCCAGAGCTTTGCGGGCAAGGGTGGGTTGATCGCATGACCTTGTGATATTTCCAAACCCACTGGACTGCGAGTTTCCCGGGAAATTGCAGTACAACAAGTGGACTTGTGAGCTTGTCTCTGCTGACCTTGTTTAGATCCTCGCATGTGTGGGTATTTCCTCGATAGATTACCATTTCACTGTACGATTACACATGGTTTGGCTATGACAGATGCGTGGGCCTTTAAACTTTATAAAGCCTCGGGTCAATTGACGTTCCCCAAGAAGCCCCAATTTCAGTTAAACTCCGGTAAAGATTCTCCTACCCAGATGTGTGCACGTTTCAGGCAACAGCCCTTTGTAGCAAATAAACGCATGTGGAATGAAGAAGGGACCTTTCCTGAAACGTCACATGTTTCCTTTTAAGGCCTGTGTTATTAACGTATGTGTTGAGTGTTTTTGGGTTTATGGTTGGGATGGATATCTGCAGGGGGACGAATTTTCTGCACGAGACTCGGCTTCTTTCCCCGGATCTGCAGGGACAGCAGACGCCCCAAAGAATCAAAGCTGCTCAATTGCAGTCGCAGCCCTGACTGCGCCAGCCGTGTAAATTCCACGTTCCCGTGGCGGGGACTCATTTACACGTAGAACAACCGCAGTTGACTTCCGCAGAGTGGTGGTGCCGATTCTACCACTGATCGAGTTAAACTCGCAGCCTCCGATGGTGAGTCTCGCTTGGGGGCTTTGGGCACGGTGATGGTGGATGCTGCGGCGTCCTTGGGTTGCACATCATTTGTACAACACTGCCAATTTGGTCCCTCGGAGTTAATGTCCGGTTTATTTCATTGAAGCGGCCTCGGGATCTGACCTTTTGATTCCTGCGCTGTAATCTACAGTGTTTTCAAATCTGTTGCTAAAAATATATGGTACGTACAGTCGTGAACGGCTGTTGCTTGGTGACTACGTTAAAAAGCCTTAGGCTTGGTGCAACCATCGACTGCATTAGACCATAACCAGGCCGATGCACACATCTAAATGGAAAAGTAAAGGCACGCACAGTCGTGCGATTGTGGCCATACACCCCAAACTATGAACCGCACAGTAAACCCATAGAGATTCATAGAGATAAATGAAGACCCATTTGAGATACATAACATGAAAGACAAGCCACAGTAGTGCAACTCTGGTCATGCAATCCAAACTATAAAACTGATCGATTAGGACGGTTGGCAAACGCACGGTGCGAAAAAAGTTCAACATAGACGTACAACCACCGCTGTAGTCTGTCTCATGACGCCCTCTCGTTGTGGCTCGCAAACCTCGACAGCGGCATTTAGTTTGTGAACTCTGCTGCCATCGGACGCAAGGAGAAAAGAGAGCAGTGGTTCTCAGTGTGGCCCGCGACGCTCCTCCAGGCAGTCCGCGGGGCTGTAATGCAAATGCAGGTTGCTCCGCAAATAATGACAATGTTTTCTAACATTTGTTTTGGACATTAATGCATATTTGACTCGTGATATTTAATAACAAAAAATGAAGTTAGGCAGACTACCCTGGTTAATCTACCCAAACCCTAGGGGACCGTCCATAAATGACGTCACGCACCTAGGGGGGGAGGGGTCAGACATTTTTGACGATGTGTGACGAGGGGGGGAGGTGGGGTTTGAGAAATGTGACGTCCCATCAAAATGCGCAACTTTAAATAAATATTAATTAAATCGAATTGTTATAACAACACTAATTTTGATACATTTTCATTATTAACTATTTGGTTATTTACATTTACTAAGGTCGCCTTATTAAACATTTACATTTTTATTCTAATGATTCTAACGGCTTTTATTTCTGTGAAATGAATGTGATTGTTATAATTGTACTCTCCATTTTGCTTCGTTCTGCTGCAAAATTTCAAGTATTTTTTTATAGTTATAATTTATTTTAATATTTTATAATTATAAGATAATTTCAATATAATATTCTGAATATCTGCAGTTTTAGTTAGACGTTGAATATTTTAAAGTGAATTTTATGCTAAATTTCAGCTTTCCAACGCCTTTTTAATTAAATACGCGCTACAATGACAACAGTGTAAAGTGATTTGAAGCATGTTTTATTTTAAAACATGCTTCAAATCACTTTGAAGCATGTTTCAAAGGGGAGCTTGTGACGTCATATTTGAGGGTGGTCTGACTTTTTGTGACGCCGTGTGACGAGGGGGGGTCAAAATCGGCCAAAATCGCGTGACGTTATTTATGGACGGCCCCTAGGATCTAAATATTCCCCATAAAAAAACAAAAATACCTTATCGCTGCGTGTAAAAAAACATTTATGTTCCGGCAATATGAACCATTTATATGAGTGCTATTTAGAGAGGTAAGTGAATGCGTTTTGTCGCCAGGGGTGTGGGGCTGGGTGGTCCGCGGAAATGTTTCCATCGGCTGAGTGGTCCGCGAGTCAAAAAAGTGAGAAACACCGCAATAGAGGCAACAATGCCCCCTGCTGGTAACACGGTGTAACCGCTCTGGCATTTACACTGAATCTTAACAACGTTAAGCATGGCGTGGTGTTACTTAGGCGTCTTGGAGCAACCCACAATTCTTACAAACACTGAAGCTGCTCGACACGTATCGCGCTAATCGCTTATCACGTACTACCACTGTGTGGCCCTCTCATTTCTTTTTATAACAGAGACTATTTTTACATCATAGGTTTGTAAAATCTACCCGTTGAGCGATTTCAAATTCCGCATGACGCTGCTAGGCGTTAAGTAGATTAATATACTGTACAGTAGATATATTTTTTACCAGTTAAAGTCCACTGAGCTATTAGCTATTGTTCAGAGGCGACCTGGCCCCATATGATAGCTCGTCAAAGTGGTTTATATCACACGTGATAATTTATAGTAGCCGCTGAATAAACTGAACGCGTCCTTCTAAATGTGGAAAGGACAAACCCGGAGGACCCAGAGAATAAAATCCACGTGATCACCAAGTGGGAGAGAGATCACGCAAACTCCAAATATACAACAGGTATCGCCAGGGTCCGGGTTCGAATCCAGCTACTCGTGCATAGCTGGTGAGGGAGATAACATCTCGCCACTCGGCACACGTCACCGATCTGAAGACCTAAAGTCAGGTGGTTTCACGTTTCAAATGTATTTTGTTTAACCAGGAGATACTCCAAGAGAGCAGGATAAGAGTCTAATTTGCAATAGTGACCTGGGGCATTAATCTGGCAGTAGGGGGCGATGATTCCTGCAGTGTATAATCACAAATGGCACATTTGGACCCTGACATTGCACACAATGGCCTACTCTTCCGAATGACGCCAGGGTATCTTTAACTGATGTCCTGTTTCAAGGCCGTAATTCAAATATGCTCAAAATGTCCCCCCCCAATATATTGCTATAAAACATAATTGCTATGCTATGTAAATAAAAACAGCAATTTGATAAACCTTGGCCACAATATCTGGACTTGTCTTCATTAATGAATGCATAGATTTCTGTTCACATTATTGTGGTTATGGTTGTTCTTTATGAATCCATAATCTCTGCCATTACATACAATGAAACAAGAAATGGTAAAAAAAGTAAAAACAAAGCAATGTAATACAATACACTATTAGACATTATTGTAAAAAATAAATAAAAAGTCCATCCCATGTGTTAGTGAATTTTTAAATATTTTAGGCAGGAAATGAGTTTTCAAATTTTGATATTTTTCTAGGTTGGGACACCCTAGAAGATTTGGTCCCCCCCAATGTTGACTCCATGGCTACGGCCTTGTCCTGTTTGCTAAGGTGGCTGATGTTGGAAACATTTTGTTTGTTATTTGTTTTCTGAGAATCTACATCCGTCATTTTTCACCCTGATCTGGCAACACTCATGAATGTTGATCTCACTGCATACAAATCTGAGGGATGATTATTGTATTAATATTAGCAATTTCCAGTGATTTAACCATAGCATCCCCGATAGAATTGGTCATTAACAAATAAGATAAAAAAAACAATAACCACAAGCCACGTCAAGCAGTTGAAAGCACATTGTAAAGTCAGTAAATACTGTGCTGAGCTTCAGTACATCGTTCCCGTGCGCTGTGTGAGGAAGACAAAACAACACCTCGTGGCACAGCTACGACGGGAGATTGCTACACCAGATGGCTTCCTCGGTGAGGCGTTCCATGAGACCGATACCGAGCACCACCCAGGGCACACGCGGTCCCGTCTTCGCAGTCTTTTATTTCCCTTGCACTGTTGTTTCCTTCGCCTCCACTTCTAGCGGGTACCTCTGAGAATTTCAGAAAGGATCTCAAATGTCAGGCGCACGGCGAAGATGGCCCCTATAAATAAACGCACCACTGGCGGCGAAACTGAGATGACCCGACGGCGTCACTTCCACTCCCAACCACGCGCTGGAAAAATAAACACTCGGTGTAAACACATGCCCGAACCAGTGTGGACGCGCATAACACAGACACGTGACGTGCCGCGATTGTGCGGTTCAGATTGCCCAGAAGGCAAGGGGTCCCGTGGTCCGTATATAACGACGCCGCATCAGACGGCGCCAGCAAACTAAGTAGCTGAGCACACAGCCACACACAGGACCAGAGAGCCCAGCGGAGGGCCAATCGTCTTTAAAGAAGCCCTTTTTCGCCTGCGTATCCCCCCGAGGTGCAAGCGTCGGAATCTTGACAAGTTTGCGGGGGAGCGAGGAGCCCGGGGTTTTTTTTCAAGATCAGGATGCGTGCCCTGCAATGAACTCCCAAGGTATGGCGGTGACCTACCTACGTTCGCCAAATGCTCAGTGGCAGCAGTTGGGATGGATTTTGACTGTTCAGTGATGCTGCAGTGGTGTAATGGTTAGCATGCATGATTTGTAATCCAGAGGCCGTCGGTTTGATTTAATCTGCCACAGCCGTTGAAATTTGTCCAGACGGCAGTATAAATGGGCACACCGAAGTTAGCCACGGTGGCGAGATGTTAACTCTCTCCAATGGTATACAGAAGGTCGTGGGTTCGATCCCGACCCTATATGTATAGTGTTTGCAGTCGCGTGGATTTTTCTCCGGGTCTTCCGGCTTTACCCTCCATATTTAGGAACATGTGTTTAGATTATTTGGCTGCTATTAATGTTAACATGATAAGCCACTTAGTTGAGCTATCGTTTGTGGGCAGGTCGCTTCTGAAAAAGAGTTCTACAGCTCAGTGGGCCTTACCTGGTACAATAAAAACGAGTTTAGTTGATTGGCACGTCGCATGTGGTGTGATAAAATGTGGGTACGTTCCACCATGGAAGAGCAGGTTAAACACCCTCTAGAGGGGGCTGTCGAGGATTCCCTCAAGTGGAGGCCCCTCTGGCGTGTGGCTTGAGAAGGAAATTGCAGGGCTGCGCATTTACCTTCGGCTGTTAGCTGTAACAAGCCGGTTGACTCGAGGGAGGGGGGGGGGCTCATAATGGTCGTATCGGAGTAGTGAGCCACCACCACTGAGAGTAGGGGTTTGAGTCCAGGTTTCAACCACCTGTGATTAAAACAAGTTATGAAGTTAGTGAAATGTTGGTGTGACTTAACATGGTCTAAAGCAACCTTTCGGTGATAAATGTATAGGATGATTTACATGTTTCAAGCACCGTTTTTAAAAGGGGGTTTGAAGTGTTATTGTCTCAGCCAGATCATCAATGGCTGCACAAAGTAAACAATTGAACGTATTTTGTTTACATCATCCGAACGTAAGCCTAAAATACAGAAAATAAACATAAATCTGACGGCGCATGTGTGCCAAATCACTCTTCACACAGCGTGGAGAAGCACCATCTAGAGTTGGGATAATATGGCCAGAGTGCTCCTTGAAGGACACGTTGACTGCGTAACAATGGGAAGACCTGACTTTTAGTGGAGGTCGTGGTGATACTGTATGAGTGGGCCTCAAACACTGGGCATCAACTGCAGGATCTAGCAGAAGGAAGGACGCAATGGTGGTGGTGGTGATGATGATGACCTCTTGATGCGACTGTTGTGTAATAACGGATTGTATGTTGTTTTTGTACGGCCACAGATTAAAACAAAAATAGCAACAGGTCAATAACAGCTTCAGAGTCGCCAGCAACACGGCCAAACATGTCTCGCCTCGTCACATACGTGTCTCGGGGAGATTGGTCAAAACTTCAGCGCCCGTCCTATATTTAGGTAGACGGGCAGGCGGGCAGGGGTGATGTGACGGGAGACTCGGAGAGGGAACCAAAGTACATGATGCGGAGTGCCGTGGGTGTTTTTGGAGAGCACACCAACTGCTCTCATTATCCCGCACCCATATGCAGAGTTTGACTTCTATATTTGGGGCGGGGGAGGGGCAGAGGTTCGCTTTGGCCTTCACATTAGGAATCGCGGGCGCAAATAATAAATGTATTTGTTATTAATCTTAATTGTAAACGACTGAAAATTAATTAATGAAAGTGTCCAGTTAGTGGGGGGCCCTCCTGTGCCCCCCAAACTCCGCCCATGCTCGCATCTCAGTTGTGTTCCAACTCAAGGATTGTTTTCTCTCTTCTGGAAAGTTCGCTGCTAATGTTGCGATATCGTAATTGCAAATAAATGATCGATATTCATGAACGCTGTCTTCACATAGCCTAGGCTGACAACACCGAAATTTAGATTTAAAATTAATTTTAGAATGTTTTTGCAAACAGAATGTCAACTCAAAAGTCAATGTGTTAATCCTGCTCAGTGATATAAATTCAACGTTCCTATGCCCTTAGGGCAACCACTGTTGAATTCCCCAAAAAGTGGTATTTATTTTAACTACCCCGTAGGGAGATGGGTTCAGTCAACCTTCAACCAGGATTTGAAATCGCAATCTTCTGATTGCAAGCCGCCCGCTCGACCACTCAGCCACCAGGACGAATATAAAATATAAAAAGTTTAAGAATAAATAATTCAGAAAATGATTGAAAATGTAGTGTAATAGCATGTGATTAACGTTACCAGCCTCTGGTAATCTGATTACAGTAATGGCTTACTTGTAATCAGGGCTTCATTTCACCTGGGTCTGCCTGGTTTAAAAATAGTACTGCACCCAGCAGGCCACATGCAGTACACCTCTCGCTATCGGTGTGGCTAACAGTCACGTGCCACCTACTCTATCTAGTCTACCAGGAACGTGGACATTTGGGTGAGAAATTATAATTATTTACTCCACAACACTGTCCATATCATGTCACTTGTCGAGTATTGGGTTAGCTCGTGCTCCGGTCCAGACAGGTGTCATGGTAATCTCTGTGACGTCACGCTGCACGTGTTGAAGGTCAGATGCGTTGAGGAATGCAGAGCACTCGGGTAAACATGCACGTGAACTCGGGGAGAGGAGCGCAGTGACGTGGGTGTCCAAGTTAATATTTAGAATGGATTTATATTCGGTTATTTAATTATTTTGGCCATTCTTTCACTTCTAAGAAGTGGCTTGACAGGGAGATAATATTCTTAATCCTGCAACAACAGTAGAGCTGTGTTGCGGCTCTGGAATTACCCAGCTCCAGCAAAATGATTATAATGAACGCTGGTTCTATCACCAAAAGGGAATACAGATTTGGTGCACGGATTTATGATCGATTTTCTGTAATGTATGGAAGTAGCACTTCTTAAAACAACACGACCATTACCTCCATTCCTTCAAGAATGGTCATAGCCCAAGATTCCTACTATTTATTTTTATGTTATAAGACAGCACAAACAGTGAGAATTGCGCTGTTTTATGTTTCATTCTAGATTTGAAGTTTTCGTGACTGCAAGGATCCATATTCTTTGTTTTATATTTGTTCAAACCGCATCTAAATGGACATGTTATTTTTGTATTTCACTTTCAGAGTTCACCAGCACCAGAGGAACTCTTCCCCGAGCGCCACATGACACAAGCAAGAACAGAACACGCATAGAAATAACACCATAAAGCCATTGAGTACAATTTTATTGTAGAATAAATACTCTTCACTTGGAACCCTTGGAGTGAGGAGTGTAACATTACCTCGTGTCAGAGAACGTTCCAGAAACATGACTTCACAGAACTACTTCTGAGGTCCCTTCGATAGACGTGTCGCCCAGACTACTTGGGACACTTTGGTGCACGGTAGTTTCCAGCAGTGAGTCAAGCCACCGTGAACGAGACAATGGAGGCACAGCCACCGCCTGCGTCTCCCACTCCCCCCGCGTCTATCATCACGGACATCTGTAGTGTCTCCACGGACGACTCGTGCCACGGGTGCCCGGAGACCTTCGTCTTCCGCTCGTCTTCCCCGGCCTTGGAGCTGCTGCCTCAGATGAACGAGTTCCGTCTGCAGGGCGTCCTCACCGACATCTCCTTGCGCTGCGGCGCTGCCGAATTCCGCTGCCACCGTGTCGTGCTGGCCGCCTGCTGCCCCTACTTCCGGGCGATGTTTGCCCACGGATTCCGCGAGGGGCTTGAGGACTCGGTGCGGCTGGGCTCCGTGTCGGCCCGCACCCTCGCCTCGCTCCTCGACTTCGCCTACACGGGTGAGGTGTCCATCTCGGAGGAGAATGTTGGCGAGCTGCTGCAGGCCGCGTCCATGCTGCACTTCAGGGAGGTGGAGGGGGCCTGCTGCTCGTTCCTCGAGCGCCGGCTCAGTCCCCAGAACTGCCTGAGCCTCATGGCGCTCGCCGACACTTTCGGCTGCCCGGGGCTGTGCGCCAGGGCGCGGGCGATGGCGCTGAGCCGCTTCAGGGAGGTGGCGGAGAGCGGCGCGGCACTGGCGCTCACGGGGGAGGAGCTCGCGCGCTACCTGGAGGACGACCAGCTGTGTGCGGACGAGGAGACCGTCTTCCAGACCATCGTGGCGTGGGTCCGGCATGACCCGGGCAGTCGGCTGCAGCACCTCGAGCGACTCTTCATGAAGGTTCGCTCGGTCGGTCGTTTATCTGTTCACGCCACGCTGGACGTGCAGGGGATGATTGAGCACAAGGAAAGATAACTTTTATAAAATGTGGAAAAGGGGGGGTGGGGGGGCAGTGACAGAGGTGGAGCTAGAGTTAGAGGTAGGGTCCAGGGGTAGGGCCAATGCTAGAATCTGGTTTGATAGAGCTCGGCTTACGGCTCGTGTTTGGTTAGCTTAATAGGTCTAGGTCAGTGGTTCTTAACCTTTACTGCAGCCTTGCACCCCTTGGGTTCTCAATCGTAAACATAATGTACGTTAATAAATACAGAGGTTTGATGAAACAAAGTAGTTGTACTTACGTGCCCGTGCTTAATTTGTGTTTCGATGATTTACCTTCTAAACAAATTTGGCAATGCCTCGCACCCCCAGAAAGGGCATCTCGCACCCCCAAGGTGTGCGTGCACCCCAGGTTAAGATCCACTGCTCGAGGTGAAGGTTGGCTGAGCGTTTTTTGTCCTAACGGTTTGCATCTCTCGCCCACCATTGCCATTATTGTGGTCTCTTTGCCATTTCACGTTGCTAAGTGTTTCCCAGTCCTTCCGAGTGTTGTTGTTGTTGTTTGAAATGGTGGCCAACTTTTGGTTCGAAGGTGATGTGGGAACTTCACCGGGAGCAGCGCCACCGCAAAAACCTCAGCAGTCGCATCTTTAAATTGTTCTTGCTCTTCACTTCTCACGTTTACAGCAGACACCTGTAATCCGTTACCCTGAATGCAATTGCATGCAACCTCTTGAGCTATCATCAGGGTGTCCTGTATAATGTTACAGCACAAAAAAATGGGTTCTGATTGCTAATGTGTCTGTACATGTTGTCTCATCATATTTGTGGGTTTTTTCTAGTTATTCTCGTTTTCTCCCACGTAAAAAAAACCTTTATATATAACAATGTACCTTGGTCCAACATCCCAACGCTAGTTCTTCCTGAGAAGAGTTTTTAGATTCGGGACACTGAAAGGCGAACACTTAGTGTGAGATGTTCACCTACCAAGTCAAGTCAAAATGTTTCCCTAACCAAAGAGCGTTGGGCAGCACCCTCTCCATTTGTGGCCCTAAAACAGTGGAGAAGAGTTTCACTATGGGATGACCAGTGTTGACTTCCCATGAAGTGGTACTTTATCTGCCCCCATAGGAGCTGTAGTTGCAGAACCAAATGTAATGGGGTGGTTGTTTTGTGCAATCATTGGTGACCAGTTTGTGACCAACAACTCACTATGCTTAAGAACCCGGTTTAATCACGGGCGGCTGCTTGGATCTAAGCTATGCCAAGTCAGCACCCTGATCTCGGAGCCACCCGGCCACCTCAATACCGCAGCGTTCTTAACTGATGCGCACACTCTCGCACGTGCATGCTGCGCAGGTCCGGCTCGAGTACGTGGACCCACAGTTCTTGGCCGTGTTCGTGGCCCGCGATCAGCTGGTGCGTGCATCTCCCCCGTGTCGCGCCCGCGCCGACAACGCCGTCGCCAAATTGACATCCCCGCAATACCACCAGCGCCACAACAACCGTCACAACTCCGAGGATGGTTCTTCCTCCTCCTCCTCTTCGCCGCCCGGCTGCTCCTCACCGCCTCCACGCCACTGCTTCCTGCGTGAGCACCTGGTGGTGCTGGGTGGCCGCGCGGACGGCGCCCGCACCACGCGCTCCGTGCTGCTGCTGGAGACCGCCATGCTCGAGGAGCGGCCACTCACCTCCTGGCTTAGCCTCCCCAAGCTGCCCGGGCGCTACCGCCAGCCGTCGGCCGCCACGTTGCACGGTGCCGTCTACGTTACGGGCGGGATCCGCGTGGGGCCGGGGGCCTCGCTGGGGGCGCCGTGCACCGACGTGCACCGCTACTCGCCACGCGCCGCCGCCTGGAAGCCCGCGCCACCGCTGCTCGCGCCGCGGTACGGGCACCAGAGCGTGGCGGTGGGAAGCCGCCTGTACGTGCTCGGCGGCGTTGGCGGTGGGGGCGGCGCCAGCGGGGAGGCGGCACTGCTGTCGGTGGAGCGGTACGAGTCGACCGAGGGCGAGTGGCGCTGGGCAGCGCCCATGCCCGTGGCCGTGGGGCAGCCGGCTGTGGCTGCGGTGCAAGGACGCGTCTACGTAATCGGCGGAGAGGAGCTGCAGTCCAAGACGCCCGCGCGCATCATCCAGGTATTTTAAATGTTTTTTGTTGTTGTCGTTCCACCCCCCCCCCCACAAGGATTTTAGGCTGATTGTGCGACCAATTAACAGCGACGCCTCCTGTTATGAGATGGATCCATTGGGATCTCTTGCAAAGTGGTGCGAGCCCACCCCCCCCTTGTTAGAGGATGGCCCGCAGAAGGCTACTAAAAGTGACCTCTGGAACACGCGGAAGGGGCAACATTTTAGTGCATGGCTGCCACATTAGAGTAACGAGTGCAGCGTTCATTGCACGGCACTCAAACCGATGTTTATAATTTTCAGAGCCGCAATTTTGCCAATTTAGATGCAGAACCAGATTTAATGTTGTGCACTTAATCAGGGTATTTATCTTTGTGTGTGTGTGTGTCTATGTACGTGTGGATATGTTGCCTGCAGATCTATAACACAGAGTGCGACGCGTGGTTCAGACTGGAGACGCGGATGGTGAAGAACATCAGTGCCCCTGCTGTGGTCGTGGATGATAAGATCATCGTGATTGGCGGTGTGTGGCAACTCAGAGAGGAGTTCGAATCAATGTCAGAAGTGTCCCTTTGCTAAACTGAGAAACAGGGTGGCTCTAAACCAGGGGTGGTATTGCACATTCCCACAGTGCATATGCCGTTCTTAGAATGCAAGGATATCATGAAGGAAAGCACTGTGATTCACGGAAACGGATCTAGGCTCCCAGTACTGGTGATGTTGCTATGTAGTTATCCCAATTAGGTCATTGTAGTACTAGAGGGGCTAGTATAAGTGACGAGTTGAATAGTTATTTAGCATCAGATGAAGAAATACTACTAGTGGCTGGATGGTTTGTGTTGGAGGTAGGGCGAGTATTCATGAATGGTTGGCTAGTTGGTTCATGTTAGAGGTATGAATAATATTGTTGAATGACTAGTTATTAATAGAGGGAAGGGCTAGTACTAGTGGTTGGTTAGCCAGTTGGTTAAAGTTAGGGGTAACGATAGTGTTCATTTGGCTTGTGTACTCTGCACCACAAGCACATTGCAACGCTTGGTCTTTTCCCGAGTTAACCAATTCGATGTATGATGCAGCACTGCATCACCTGGCCTGATAAACGTTCGACAGATCGCCCGTTTGATCGAACGCCCCTGACTGGCGCGCGTGGTGCAGGCTACACGCGGCGCGTGCTCTCCTACGACCCGGCGTCGAACCGCTTCTCGCGGCTGGCCGACCTGCGGGAACGCCGCGCGCATCACGCGGCGTGCGTCCTGGATGGCCGCGTCCTCGTGTCAGGCGGCAGGGCCATCACGCCCACGCCCAGCGTCGTGGACTCCGACTCGCTGGAGCTGTACGACCCAGCCGTGGACGCGTGGGCGCCCGCGGGAAGACTGCCGTACCGCCTCTTCCACCACTCGTGCGTCACCCTGCGCAGCCCCCTGCTCCTATTCGACGGCGCCACTTGAGAATGTGATCGCAGTGTCAGCCGTGGTGTAAAGTTACAACAATTCAAGCGCCTGGGAAGCTCAAGCAGGACGCACGGAGGGCTGGGAACGCCTCCCGCCATTAGCCCCACCCACTCTTTAATGGCCACGCCCACTCAACTGCGAGCCTGGCCCACACAGTGAGCAAGCCTCCTGCCCACTTTCTAACATTGGCCCTGCTCCCTGCTCACAGGCCTCGCCTACTCCTTTGCCAGCCTTGCGCACAAATCGGGCAGCCCCGCCCTTTGCTCATGTCATGAGTCGAGCGTGAGGCCAGGACATTTGAGATATCCCGATTTACGTATGTGCTTCGAGACACGAGGACATCCTTTCTAAAATAAGGGAATTCATGGCAAAACCAGGATGTTCAGCTATTTTAATGCAGTAGCACAGGTCTGTGACATGACACTGCATTGTGCAGATGCCATCGCTCGCTGTGAGACTCAAACTGAAACAATGCATAATGGGCAGCATATTGCAGGACAGCAAGTGGGTTCCGGACCTGCCTGTATGCCATTTGAGAGTGTTTCTGTCGAAGAGGAATTTGCCAAACATCTGAATGTAGGACCTGCCTGGCAGCAATGTCTTGAGACAAAGTGAAGCTTTTCTAGATAATAAACATTTGTCTCCATTATTAATATAGGAGTTATATTGTACACGTGGCGTTATTGTTATATCCAAAAATAATTCATCCATGATTGGAATCGTCACTTTAAGTTATGGCAATCAAATTGTAGTGTTTGTGGTGGTGGAGAATCTTGACATCACTGATTCATGTTAAACAAATGTGTACACAATAATATTGCTTACAAGTGGAGTATGATGATAAAGTGCAGTGTTGTACAGTACAAACGTGACAGTGCGGTACTATCACATTCAATGTTACAAGCGGAGTCAACAGTATTTCGATTTTCAGATCAACAAACTTATACTTTTGTCCATTACGCAAGCACTCAGGTATTGCTGATAAATAACGTATGAACGACGCGTCCATATACAGTATTGTGTAATAATGGAATAGTTTGCACATAGGTTAGAATAGTTAACTCACAATTGAAAAGCTGGAAGTTAAAATCTGCCCATCATTTCTCCGTGAGTTAATGAGATACTTTGTACGAAGCCAAAAGTCAACAAACTTATTTGGGAATGACACCCAATGACCTGGGAATGTGGAATTTCCACCTCTGGCTCTGGGTCATGAACAGATCAATAGAGGAGTTATACATGGCTCTGGGCCATTAACTACTGGACATCTGTGAAAAAGCGATTCATAGCTTATCGTTTTCCTTCACTATTAACAAAGATTCTGATTCTGAGATATGAGGACCGTCCCATGTGCCCGTTTGGGCAGGGAGACGATTTGACTTGGCTATGCACAATGATCCTAATGCTTTGGATTGGAACTCAACTTTCTGATTTTCGAGCACTCTGCCAGAGCGACACCCAGTGGCACAAGGTGAAACCTGGTGCGTCGATTATTAATTTTGACTTGAATCGCCGCAGTCAGTAGCGTTTGAGTGATTCCAACAAACACACACGAGCATTTTTTTATGTGTTGGTTTATTCCATATAAGTGTAGTACTTTGAAAGTATTACATTTTATTTGAATTTATGTACAGCATTGGTGGTGTTTGCTTAGTTTTCTCTTTTTTACATATTTGTATTGTGCATTGTTAATTGACGTGTTAGATGTAGAAGTAATGGACATTGCATTGGACGCGAAATTTTGTACAATGTGGACACACTGCCAGTTGTAAACCACACCGATCGCGAACATCCCCTCTTTAGGCTCTGTGGAGATTCCATTCTTGTCGCAGGGGTTTCCAATTAAGATGAGTAGTTCCCGACACTTGATTGACAGTTTAACACGTAGGCTTTCGCGACCAATATTCATAATAAATAACGCGATCTAATCCAAAAACCTTTATTATGGACTTGATTGACAACCGACACACTTTGACCTTTGGCATGACTTCAGTCTTACAGGCTGCCACTGCAAGTGCTATTAGGTGAGCAACAGTGCCGTATTATCCTAGTAGGAAGAGTAACATGCTACGGGCCCCGCGCTAAATGCTTTCAAGCTATGCTATCAATTCCAGTTCAGTGATTCTGCACTTGGTCTATTACTATTACTATCTTCTTTGGTTCTTTCGGTAAAGTCACGTAGAATGAGAATAAAATAATAAATTGATAAAATAAAATAACACAATAATATTCTCACGACGTATTCGGCCACAACACAAGCGGCCTTCATCAGGTGTCCTACCAGACAGTCTCGTCCCTTCACCTGATGAAGGCCGCTTGTGTTGTGGCCGAAACGTCGTGAGAATATTATTGTGTTATTTTATTTTATCAATTTATTATTTTATTCTCATTCTACGTGACTTTACCGAAAGAACCAAAGAAGATGAATCATTGCAGTCACGAAAGCTTTAAATACTATTACTATCTTTTTATATATCAAAGTCTCCGCGTGCGCGCGCTTGCGGGGGATTTGGCTCTCAAACGGTGGGGTTCAAGTCCGAAAAAAATTGCCGGGTGGCACGCCCCGAGCCCCCTGCTTGGTATAGGCTATTCCGTTTTCCCAGCCGTCAACTTTAAATTAGTTTAATTAGCGATTTAGCGCCATTCTTATTTTAATTATTTACTTACTGCACGAGCTCGACCGTACCAACTGACGACAATTGCGTGGGGGGGCGGACCCTGTCACGTGAGGCGCGTTCAGTCGAGCTCACGGCCACGCCACGGCACTCTGTCACGTGAGTACTTTGTGCTATAGAGTCACTAAATATACTGATATACAGTCAGCATGTACTCCTGTACAGTCCATAAATACTGCTATACAGTCAGCATGTACTCCTGTACAGTCTATAAATACTGCTATGGAGTCAGCATGTACTACTGTACCGTCGACTAATACTGCTATGGAGTCAGAATGTACTACTGTACAGTCCATATCTACTGCTATAGAGTCAGCATGTACTACTGTAGAGTCGATATCTACTGCTATACAGTCAGCATGTACTACTGTAGAGTCGATATCTACTGCTATACAGTCAGCATGTACTACTGTACCGTCGATTAATACTGCTATAGATTCAGCATGTACCACTATAGAGTCGATATCTACTGCTATAGAGTCAGCATGTACTACTGTACAGTCCATAAATACTGCTATGGAGTCAGAATGTACTACTGTACAGTCCATAAATACTGCTATACAGTAAGCATGTACTACTGTACAGTCCATGAATACTGCTATAGAGTCAGCATGTACTACTCTACTCATAGCAGGTACCACCACTGTCGCTTGCCCTGCTGTAATCATAGCTTACACCATAGTATGCATGCACTGCTATTAGGGAAAGCAGGTACCACCACTGTATGCACTGCGGTAATCATACCAGGTACCAGCACATTCAGCATGCACTGCTGTTGTTAAACCATGTACCACCACAGTATGCACTGCTGTTATCATAGCAGCTACCACCACAGTTATTATGCACTGCTTTTGTAATAGCCGATACCACCACTGTCAGTATGCACTGCCTTTGTGATAGCAGGTTCCACCACAGTCACTAGGCACTGCTGTAGTGATACCACAATCCACCACAGTCGGTTTGCACTGCTGTAGTGAAAGCAGGTACCACCACAGTCGGTATGCATTGCTGTAGTCATAGTGCATACCGTCGTGGTGTGTGTGCGTAAGTCAATTTATGTGTGTGCATAAGTCAATGTGTGTGCGTTGTGTGTGTGTGTAGAAAACTACTCTTTTTGAATTAAAGTTCCTTCTTTCACAGTAATAATGCCTGCGTCTAAGTCCATGTGTGTGTGTGTGTGGGTCGATGTGCATGTCTGTGGCCATGTGTGTGTGTGAGTCAATGTGTGTGTGTGCGTCGCTCCATGTCAGTCAGTGTAAGTACATTTCTTTCTATGTGTGTGTTTTTTGGTCCATGTGTGCGTGTGAGTCCATGTGTGTGTGTCTGTACGTACGTGTGTGTGTGTGTGTGCGTACGTCCATGTGTGTGCGTGTGAGTCCATGTGTGTGTCTCAGTCCAAGTTTGTGTGCCTCTATGTGCGTGTGTCAGTCCATGTATGTTTGTGTGGGAGTCTATGTGTGTCAGTCGATGTGTGTATGGCAATGTGTCTATGTGTGACAGTCCATGTGTGTGTGTGCGTCGATATGTATGTGTGTGTGTAAGTTCATGTCTGTGTGTGTGACTCTATGTATGTGTGAGTCGATGTGTGGCTGTCAGTCGATGTGTGTGCGTGGGTCCATGTGTGTGTGTGTGAGTCCCTGTTTGTGTGTCTGTAAGTCCATATGTGTGTGTAGGTCAATGTGTCTGTAAGTCTATGTATGTGTGTGTGTCACTCGATGTGTGTGTGTAAGTCAATGTGTGTGTGTGACTTGATATGTGTGTGTGTCAGTCCATGTGCATGTGTGTTCGTCGCTGTGTGTGCGTGGCTCCATGTTAGTCAGTGTTAGTCCATTTCGTTGCGTGCCTGTAGGTGCATGTGTGCGTGTTAGTCCATATGTGTGCTTTATTCACTTGCTCAGGGCCTATGATACCATCATTAGGCCTGGGCTCTGGGTTGTTCCTCGTACTTTTCGAGTCCCTGACCCTGTGCTCACGATCCTTAAGGACCTTCATGATGGTGAGCGGCCCCACATCAAACTACGTGACCGTGAATCAGAGCCACTCCCTGTACATCTCGGGGTGCGACAGGGATGTCCACTGCCTCCCACATTCTTTTACATATATTTGGACCACGTACTTTGTTAAGCCTTCAATACCTCTACCGGAAGAATTCACATCTGGTACAGATACAATGGGAGGCTCATCGATGCCCGGGTGCGGTCAATCGATGGCTCCCTATTGGTCAACCACGTTATGTATGCCGATGATCTGGTAATTAATGCTCACTCAGAAGAGGAGTTGGACGCGCTGCTGCTCAACCTGGAGCTTGCCACTAAGAGGTGGGGCCTTACCATCAGCCCCACCAAAACTAAGCACCTGCCTGGGTATTTTGTACCATCGGACAATCCACCCCCATAACTCACAATTGGTGATGGGCCAGCTGTGGAGAGTGCAGAGTTTCCCATACCTGCCCAGTGTACTCATGACCGGCTCCAGTTTAACACCAGAGGTCTCACTCTGAATCAGTTGAGCGGCATTATCTTTTCATCAGCTGTGTAACACTGTGTTGAAGCTACCTAGTTTCTCACTCCGCACGAAGCTGCACGTCGTCTCGCCCACGGTCATTCCCTCCCTTCTCTACACTTGCGAAACTTGGACCCCCCTAATGCAACATTTTCGCCGGTTACAAACATTTAGGCTGGCCTGCCTACGATCCATCCTGGGTTTGACCAGGCTGGATTGTGTGATGAGCTCACAAATACTTGAAAGATCTGGACAAAGTCCTATTGGTGACCTCCTACGCCAGGCAAGGCTGCGTTGTCTGGGCCATGTAGCCTGCATGCCCAGCCACCGCATGCCTAAACACCTTTTGTTCCGCCGGATCGAGGTCTCTAAACGGGTGCGGCACAGGCTAGAGAAGAGATGGAGTGATGTGCTACAGGACGATGTGCAGCTGAGTGGACTTGTCGATGACTGATACCAGCGGTGTCAAGGCCGGTATCTGTGGAGGAGCCTCGTGAAGGACGCTACAGGCCAGTTGGAGGCAGTCGGCCTCCAACAACAATGGAGGGCGGAGGAGCGATGCTCACAAGAACGAGCGATGCACCGTGTGGCTAAAGCACAGCAAGTTAGCAGGGTACAGGGCACATGTGGTGCATCTGCCAGTCATCTCAGTCGACCTGTGCCATCTGGGTCTGCCCCGTGACCTCCTGCCAGCAGATGTTCGACACTTCACGTGGCCTCAAGATGCACATAGCCTGCCACAAGCATTGTGGTGACGTCACTGCCACTTAATGGAGAATGGCGGTTGTTGTTGTTGTTCAGTCTATGTATGTATGTGTGAGTCGATATGTGTGTGTAACTCTGTGTGTTTGAGTCGATTTGTGTAACTACATGTGTCTCTCAAGTCGATGTCTGTGTGTGTGAGTCCATATGTGTTTGCGTGCGTGTAAGTCAGTGGGTTTCTATGTGTATGGGTCCATGTCTGTTTGTAAGTCCATGTGTGTGTCTGCCTTTTTCGCCCGGGCAACACCGGGTACTAACCGCTCGTAGTACTATACTACCTTCAACTTTTATGAACGACTGAGTGTTTAAGGTTAACGATTTGTCGTATTATCTTGCTGTATAGAAATTGAAAAAATACAATTACTTTACTATGCAAGTAAAAAATATGTGTTTTAATATTTTTGTGTGTTTTTTTTAAATTTAGGGCCCCCTTTATAGCATGTGCTACAGGCCCCGCACTAAGTTATTCTGGTACTGATAAGCAGCACCTATTTAGGCTCAGACAATACCTGGAGGGGTGTGAGCAACAACACCACACACAGTCCATCCTTCTGCAACTCCGCATTGCTCATGATCATGTTGGTGGCCAGACCTCTGCTTATTTTAGGCTTAGGAGGCCCCCAGGTCAGGTTTCTACTCCAGTTCCCACAGTTGCTCTGCGTCACCAGGAATTGAACCCCCTGAACACCACTGCCACCACATAAAAACAAATCTCTGTTTTAAAAATAATTTCTAGTACTGTATATTCAGAATGCACTGCCATTTTACAATAACCTTGTGAAATATTAAACAAGGCATTGTAGATTCGGCATTGTTAATGTCAATGTCAAAACATGCATATACTGTATTTCTATACTGTTGTATTATTAATGGGTCGTTGAAAGTTAAACCCAGGACAAGCTCAGTGAGACAACTACCGGATATGATCAGCAGAAACTCATTGCGACTGCTAATGGCTGAGTTGTGCTCTTTCTGCCATATTGAATGTGGTATTGCAATTCGTGTAGTTGCAGCCCCTCAAACCGAAGTTTCACTTTGCAGTCATGGGTGCATAGCTGGCGAGTGTTCAGTGAGTCGTGAGAACGGGAGTCAGTAGCGTCTAGAAAGGGTGAGTGTGAAGTGAGCGATGCATGTCTGTTTCGTGTGTCGGGTGAGTTGCAGGTTAGTGGTGTCTGAAGGTCAGCCGAGTAGAGATGGTTAGGCGAGTCGTATGTACTGTATGTTGAACATGTTTCGCACCATACGTAGCCTAGCAGTGACTGGTGAATGAGTACTGTACCGTGTCGAGTGAGTGCAAGATGAGTGGTGAGTAAATAGTGTTTGGTGAATCGTGACTTTTTGTTAGGTGTCTGGTGAATGTGCACTAACGTTCACTATAGTTGTTTACATAAACCATAATGTTGTTTGCATTTTTTCTTTTATTTTTCACCAATCAAAACTATACACCAGCAGATTAGAAATGTATCGAGCTTAATACAGTATGACGAATTCAGAAAACACATCAGATGCATGAATCATTTAAAAATACATTTTCTTTTCAATGCTGTATCACCCTGACTCGACTTTATTTCCACAATACAGAAGTATATCTCGTGATCCAATCCAAACTCAAGTGATATTGGAAGAAATTGCACAATTGCTACCTTTCCTTGACCTGTATATTAAAGCCTCAATGACATTAATTAAAAGTAATGTAAGTTCCTGGACATGTAGGGGCTGTACATGTGCAACAAAGAAACCATTTAATGGTGGTATAATAGTCCGGTAAGCTTTCAACTCCAACTGTTGCTTGGGAATATATAATTTGTAAACTGAATGGATGATGTTTAAATTTAGCATTTATTATCAGTCGAAGAATAGTGTATATGCAATATTATTGAACAATGTCTCCACAAAGGTAAAGGATTTTAACTTGGAATGCAAAGTGTCGTGTTATGATGGAACTTCAATTTTAAAGATGTTTTCAAATTGTATTTTCAGTACTGGATGTACAATATACATGTTGGTATTCCAAATAAATGTTTTGTTGTCAAAATAGAGAACTGTTCATCATCTGATCTAAATGCCATATTGTGACAGTGTCATTACCACTAATAACATGTCTGGCATGACCACACAAATTCACTGAATAGAACCACCCATCCTATGCTCACAGGCCCAGTTCCACATTAAACAGGCCATACCCATAGCAAGGAACTGTAATGATCGGGTTAGTGGTAGCATTGATATAAAGAGCGTGATGCTTTAAGCCTGTGGCTTCTTGAATGCGGCAATTGTGGCATTAACTCCGCTGTTGACGCTCTGCTCTCCTTCGGCGAGCTTCGGGGCTTCACGATACACGCTCATGACCTGCGGGAGAAATGGGGAATGGGTGGTGTTTGAACGTCAGTGCCTACAGATAAACGAACATGATAGCAATTATACCTGGCCGAGACCAGCCACACCGAGCCTACATGCCACCTTTGCATTGTCATCGATAAAGATAAATAGGTAATTACACTGAGCCATCGCTTCTTCTATTGTAGTCAACACCTGACTCATCTTGTGGTTAAATTTTCCATTTGGTTTTTGACCACTGGGTTCCACTTTCAATGCTTGTCATGGTAACATGTCCATTTCAATCCTCCACACATGCCCCATCCATACAACCTTTCCCTGACTATGCACCTACATTGATATTTACAACAATATAAACATTGACAATGATATTGCCATTGAGAAGAGCAATAACAATAATGATATTGATAGTGACGAGCTATTGAAAATGTTTTTGACTGTATCATTTTACTACAATATTGATGTTGACATTGACAGCCTCGGCACTCACAGCGCTGATCCAGCTGTTGTAGGCTGACACGCGGGTGAACACGGTGGGCTTGCGGATCGTATTGCAGCCCAGAGATGAGACGTAGCTGGCGATTCCCTGCACCACCCAGGCATTGTCCCACCGCTGGCAATTCAGTGGGCCACCTCCATCACCCTGCGATGCAAAGCAGAGGATAGACATGCATCCACGTTAACTCTGGGTAAAGCAGCAACTTGATATGGTGGCAGGTGCTGGCAAGGGTAAGTTCAAGAGCCTTAGGGCTCTTGTATCGGCATCTGGATGAGAAAATTTAGCAAGTGTGCTTTCGGACCGTGTTGCTAAGTAACGGAGTAATATCGCACAATCCCAAGGCCTGATCCCTCTCAAAACACCTTGTTGTGTCTTGCCCCGCACTACTCTGGTAGCTATACACACGTGACAGGGTCTGGAACAGTAAAAATATGACAAGTGATAACTCAATACGTACCCTATTGGTTCTGGCGTTAATTTGGTCATCATTTATATTTTCTTGTTTGTTATTTATTGATTTAATGCAGTCATGCCTTCACTTTGTCAAATTTTAGTCAAATCTTAGTATCCGTGGGTTTCATTTAGTAATTCTCTTAGACGAGGCGATTAAAGCAGTCACACTACTTGTCGACTCCAGTTATTAAATGGGTTGAATGTGCGCCCCTTTCGCTCCCACAACATTACCAGGTCAGCTAATCAGTGATGTCAGTGGTCACAGCCATCGCCACGCTTGGTGATTGTTGTCCACTCACAGTTACTGTTGACTAAATGAAGATTTAAAAGAAACATTTTGCTGACAACTATTCTCATGAGGAATTGACGCGGGTTGGCTCGCGTTGCGCTCCGTACGCACATAGCACGCAGAGCGGGTGCTGCCCCCCGCGCAGATCACGCTGCTCCTCAGGCTGCTCCCCCACCAGCTGGGTTGGCTGCACGTCGCGTAGTCGACCACGGGCAGGCTGGCCTGCTGCAGGGCGCTGGGGAAGGGGCCGCTGGCTGCTCACGCGCACAGACAACGTGGAGACGGAGAGCGTTGGTGAGAAGGCATCGGGGTTAAGTGACGTTAACAGGCGCTCCCCAGCGAACTGTCCGACTCTCAGTGCTCAAAGGAGAAAAGCAACGTAGCAACACCGCCACGCTGTTGGCATCATTACATCCACGTGTAGGTGGGTGCTGCATTCACCTTCTGGTGGACAGGGACAGCTGCCAATGGGGTCCCCTTTGGCGAGGTTGCCCCATGGGTGCCTCAATATACATGGAATTTGATGCAAAGTGTCCATAGCTCTGCCCCCTCTTGTGTTTAATGCACACCGAGTGAACGGTACTCACTGTCGAGGGATCCCCAGCCCGTGGCGTAGCACGGGTAGTTGTTGGGCAGGATCTGGTTGGCGCTGGGCAGGCAGGCGAGGCGCACCTTGCTGGAGAGAGCCACGGGCGATGCAATCTTGAACATGGCGATGTCGTACCTGTGGTGGATTGAGACCAGGGGCAGCCGTGATGCGACGCTCAACAAGGAACATAACAACAAGCATTGGGGGTTCAGCGCTGGGAGATCAATATTGCAGATCCTATTATCTGCTATTATACTCCAATGATTTATGGGGGGAAATGACGGATAATAGGAAGAATTGGACCACATATAATAGGAGATTGTGTGGACGCCACATCTCCCACAGATAAGTATGCCGGTCATCAATATGAGGATTTCTGTATATTCCAGTTATTGGATTATCAGAAGCATTGTATGAGATGAAGCAATAGCATTGTGTAGCATCTGTCTGTCTCTTTGTCAAACAAAGAATGGGCATGTGCTGGAAACAGTGTACGAGTACAAATCAAGACAACTCATCGCCTTGCCATTAACACTGCCTTCTATAATATAATACAATTCTACTGTTTACAAATGATCCTTAACTGACATATGATATTCAAATTATGCGTTCTTTCGTTTTACGGCAGTGTCCATGATAATGTTTGTTTGTTTAAAAATAATCTGTCTTTTGTCTGTTGGAATGTCTCTATGAATGTTTGTCTGCATGTATGTTTATCTGTCGATTGCAACTCTGAATGTCACGGTGTCACTTAACTAGCGCGTCCGTGTGCGTTCTCACCCGTTCGCCGGCATGCTGGGATTCCAGTAGCTATGCCAGACGGCCAGGCTCAATGGAGGGGTGACCTCCCCGAACTCAGATGTGGACACACTGTGCTTTCCCAGCACCACCCTGTAGCTGTAGCCACTCCTGCACGTTGTGGTGGATGTGGGGAGACAACAGAGCGACGGGCGGTCGAAATCACTTACACCTGTAAACATTGCAGTGAGAAATTACTAAACAGAAATGGTGCGAGTAACTGCATGGTATTTTGACTGCCACACTGCGGCATCGTGTAAAGGTCATTTATACAAGCTGCCTCCTTGCTCCCAAGATACACTGTTCCACCCTTGGTGGCCACAATGTGGTACAAAAAATACTGTACAACACCTGGGCCCCGGTGCAGTTGCACCGCCTGCACACACACTAGCGACTCCACTTGTGCCATGACTCACGTGAAGCAGCTCGCAGAGGTGAGCACCCATTGACTATCAATGAGGGTTCCTCCACAGTAGTTGACCCATCTTCCTCCAGAGTACCTCTGCACGAGCGCCTGCAATGCACACAAAGCGAGGCGGTGGTGATTACGGTGTTTTTTTCGGAATCTGTGCAATTTTAATATCGAATAATACAGTATAACTTTGCCCTTTTGTCAATCGACTGCCTCACAAATGCTTGCCAGAGCTGGTTGTGAAGAAAATTTTACCTGGGACTAGTTAGGATTTCACTCACAACTAACGTTAGCAGTCGCTGGGAATGTAACCCATGCAGCCTGGTTCGTCGTGCAGTGCGTAAAACACTGCGCTTCCACTCTCCCATTATACAGTGACTCATTCAATGTCTTTGGGAAGAATGGAAGATCTGAACATGTCATGTTGCACACATGCAGCCCTTTTGTCAATCCACTGCTGGATGAGGGCCTCCACGTGGCGTGTACAAAAATGGATGCTGCTGCACTGTGATCAACTGACAATGCAGCGTGTGGCTGTGATGGCTGTTATTCAGCCTCTCCCGTTACCTGCCAAGGCCAGGAGTTGGCACGAGCCTCCACGCCGTTCACCACGCGGATCTGGGGATACGCTGCGATCCCACAGCTCTGAGCAGACACCTCAGCTGTAAGGGACAATAGCATACACGCACAATACTATACACAATAGCACACACACAATAGCACAAACATAATACCATACGAATCTCCCTGATGTGTTTTTGGTTTGTACCCTGTACTGTTCTGCATGATGTCCGATGTTTCACTCCACGTTACAAGAGCTTATTTTACATATAGTGTATTGTTTTAGGAATAGGTTTTACCCTTTTAACTGGCACAAAAACTGACACCTTTATTCAAGGCATCATGTTTGCAATAACCACAACACAAGCAGTCAAAATGCAAACAAAAAAGGCAACTCTGATAATAATATGCACTGTCCTTGAATTTGATTGGTCCACACCCGAGACAGCTTTTCTTAGAGCCGAGTCTCCATTGGTGTTGGACCAGAAGACGCCAAAAGGCATACAACTCGAAAACAGCGCACTATCAGAGTATTGAGGGCTCGGGGTGAGCATTAACATTATGAGACCTCCTTTGCCAGAAACAAGATATAGGAATAGGTTTTACCCTTTTAACTGGCACAAAAACTGTTTTATTTAAAACCCGAAACAGCGATTGTGACAGAGGGTATTTCAACGTACATGCAACGTTTGCATATCCAGGTTTTGTGCCCTCGGGTTATTTTTTTCTCCTCCACCAGGAGTTATTGAGGGTATATCGGGATCCTTTTATAACCCATGTGGTATAACCAAAATAACGAGTGACGTGAAAAAGGAGATCAATTGGAGCCCAGATCCGCCCATTCCCCTCCTAGGAATTACTCTCATTCAGAGCATATTGAAAATAATGTGAGGCCTGTGGCATGCTCCCCCACCTCCTCACCATTTCCCCTGGTTCCCCTGTTCGGGTTCATGATCGTCTTGCCATCAGGTGATCCGTGTTATTTAGGATTATAATCTAAGGTGCTCCATTGCGACTATAGTGTATGATGATCGACTCCAATGTCTCCAGGAAGGGAGTTTGGGGTCCTTCCAATTATCTAAGATAGTTTTCCTCGCCATGGTATTAAAGGCTTGGGGTCACGTTTTCTGATGTTTGGATATTACTGCAAGTTTCAGGCCCCACAGGGGGGAATCCATGGAGGGCCCAACATTCGTGCCACAGATAATATTAAAGTATTTGGCAATGTGCTGGAAGAATTTAGCGATATCCGGGCACAGTCAAAAGGCATGTAGGTATGTCTGGTGCCAGGAGCTTCTTCTAGAACTCAGTCCAGTTCCTGAAGAAAATGGAATGGTTGCTACACTTAATCAATGCGTGCATTCCAATCACTCAGCAGCTCAAGGTGTCAGAAAGAGAAGCACTCACCTCCAACCAGCAGGGCAGCGCAGACAAGAAAGGCGAGCATGGTTGATCGATGGCTCTCCAATTTGCTGGAGATTGAGCTTCTCGATCACGAGTGAATCCTCTCCACTGCCGTGTCTCACAGTTGGGATCTCTTGGCTTTTATACAGAATATGCTGCACACGTGAGACCTCTAAAGGCAAACAGAATAGGGAAGTCCAACTAGCGAACACATCCGTATGCAAATGTAAGGTTGATTTATTCCAAATAAAGACGTTGCAGTATCTCTACTGTCAGTTGGTGGGAAGTGGTGAACTATTCATGTTTTATTTTTCGAGGGCTTTCAACGTTGTGTTGGAAACGTGCACATGTATCCAATGTTGTGTCATTATGCAAACACAGATTACATCCTGGTTGGTATTTGACTGCGCCTATTATTTCCAACTGGTTAATAAAATGAGTAATGTACCTCTTTGTGATAATTTAATGGTGGTAGTTGTACAGGGATACTGTTTCCCACCATAAGTATGGGCAATCGTCACCACTGGCTTCTGGCCACCACCGAAGTGAACACTGCCCAACAGTGCTTGAACAGGGAGACACTTACCTGGCTTTCAATTTTAAATGTCATTCTGTTCACCTAATTTGAACGGGTACAAAATGTAGTTATGTTAAAGTGTTTTAAAAGAGAACAGAGAAGATGCGTTTATTAGACTAAATATTGTCTTTGGGATATACCTGGACCTTTTTAACCTTTTTGTTTGCCTTTTAAGCTTGACGTTCTCGAGTGGAATGTGTGTGGACCTGTAGATGTTTGAGAATCTTCCACACGTGATGCGATCCAAAGTGGCCAGGAGATGTCCATTAGTGGAGAGCATCGAGCGTTGTCCCACATTCCTACGTGCTGCTTTACTTCTGGTTCTCGGGTTTCCTTCCAACACACCAAGCACTCATTAAAGGATTTGGTGAAACATCCCAATCGAACGTTTTCCACTTCTTCGCTCAAGAAAAGTCGCTGCAAGCAGATGTTGCTCTGCATATTCCAAAGAACTGAAATTCGACTGTGTGCAGCGCACACATCCGTGACCCCGTGACCTCATGTGGTATACCGGCATTGGGTTTCTCCAAGCGGAGCGGTGCGCAAACAAGCCACACGCTCTCCACCTCTTCATTCCCCACACCACACGAGTCTGCCAGGAGTTGTGCTCAACATTTGTGCGCCAATTCCAGAATGATGTAAAGGGAGTCCCTGGGTTACGGAAGGTTTAGGTTCCTGAGAACGATCTGTCCGCTGAATGTTCCATATGTCAGAAACTGAACAATTTCCCCCCAAAATCAGGATTAAATCCCATAACCGGATATAGTTGTGCCTCCCCTACCCGATTACTAGGTTCGTTTTCTCTCAGTATTTCACTTGGGTGTGGAAATAGTTAAAGGAATTTAATTGTACTGTGATGCGTGCATGTATATAACATTTGCTATACATGCAAGATAAGAAATGTGCTATTATATTCAAAAGTAGAACATATGGCACGGTTTCATGACAAAAAATGCAAATAGATATATATTAATGTGCGTAGTGTATTATCACGACTAATTGGCTGTGTTGGGTGGTGGCGGGTTTAACGGCACATTTATATTTACACGATCTAAACCAATAAAACCTCTTTTACGGATAATATTGGTCACCAAAGCCGACGTGTTAAAGATAATGTGTATAAACCTGTAAAAGCAACAGGCCAGGAATGCAAACATTCGCTAAATAATGCACGAACAATGATAATAACGTGCTAAATTAGGATATTGGCTCCTGGATTAACAGAAGAATGCTGTCATGTGATTACCCCATAAAAGGTAGTACAACATACATCGGTTTGTTCATGCGTGAGACTCATATAGAGAGATTAACTAAGGCAACTTAAATATTCTCGGGATTCACTATCCATGCCTGAGTCACAAAGGCAGTGGGAAAGCCTTGGGGAACAGCTGTTAAAATACGGCGCAAGCTGTAATCGTGTTGCCGCCAGAGGGCAGCACAGACAAACGGCTGTGGCTAAACAGCCACGTGGTTGCGATTTAAAGGCAAAAATCCCCATCTAATTAATATGTATTTAATTTGGCTCAAATCGCGAGAGCACATTGCTAATATATACCTTACACCCTTCTCCACCCGAAACAATTTGAAAAAGTTAAATCAGGTGAACAACCACGCAGATGTTTATTACTGCAGCACACCGGTATGCTGAAGAGCAATGCACAACATTTAACAATTATATTCGACGTTTTCGCTTTTAATCACATCCAGCATCACCGGGTGATCCTCAGAGTTTAACTCCTGCAGGAGATGATGATTGCCAGAGTTGAACTATTTGTTTCCAGCCTGCTTTCAAGTTTCTGTGGTGTTGCGATTTCTCGTCATTTGCAGGATTTAACTATTAAAGTTTGTTTGTCCACGTTACCATGTAAGGAGTTGGAAACGATGAGGAGTAATGTTGATAAGTTTACTCCTGAGAGCGAGATTTACACGTTGTGTAGGCACATAATGGCCCAGCTGGATCACACGGAGCTTTGGTCGTACAGAATTTGTCAAAAGAGCGGTATTTGTATTCAAAGGTGCAGGAAATAAAATGAGTGCACAAATAACGAAGGAAGAATTAGACACAGACACATGCCCTTTTTATTTGCGCAAGACGTACGCGAGTTGACAGTTTGTCATGACATTCGCAAGATAATACGTCATTCATTCATCATGCATAGTCAGCGAAGGACCGTTGTGCCAAACGTGTGACCCGTTGCGACAACATTCACATTAACTGCTCTTGCTAAAACACACTGGCGTCTCAAGTGATTTGTTTGATCCACGTATCACGGGGGCGACCACGGGGGTGGCGCCATGCGTTTGAGGGTCGCAATCCATTTCGAATGTCGACCGCCAACCACCAACCGCCAACAAAAGTGCGCTATTTGCTCGAGATTGCGTGTTAAGACGGGGCGACGTGTCCATGAAGTAACATCCGTCTCCATCGAACGAAGCTCGCGATCGATAGGAGACTAGTCGCAGATACAATGGTGACATTTCTGACAAAGTCGAACCATCGGGTGCCAAGAAGGCATCTTTGGCATCGCATACGGAAGGACTACAACCGATCCAAATCAGCTTGCACCTGCACAAAGAAAAAAAAGCGTATATTTAAGATCATGACAACATAATGGCCACCTTTAAAGCTAAATACAATTGTTGTCGTGTAATATCCTTTGAATAAAAAACAATATAGAGGTTTAAAAAGCAAATGTTAAATTTTCAATTGCAATTAATTTGAATGGTAATTTATTTAAAATATTCACAACTCTTCTTTATGATCTGCCCAAGTGTAAGTCACAATGTTACGGCTAATTCTGCTCCCTCATATACCCACACTGGTTTTCCCCTTAAATGAACATCTATCTGTTTAACATATTCAGAGAGCGAAGACAACTCGGTGGCTACCACGGTAACTACATTTCAAGTGCTTGTCGAGCACATGAAAGCACATTGCGTACAGAACACACAGTTCCTGACAGCAGGGCAGCGAGTGTGTTCAATGGCATTTGATACGCCATGTAGACTCATTCAATTTAGATAGGCAAACGCCAATACACACCAGGACATACCAGCATCTCAGAGAAATGCTACCTGCATGCAAACTATCCTTGGAAATAAAAAAAAATATTCCTCCAGCCCTGGCAATGTCAATGGTTTATACACGGAACTTGAAGCAA